GGGGGGGGGGATTGGGGGGTGATTAGAGGGTGGGGGGGGTGGAAAGTGAGGGGTGTTTGGGAGTGAAGAAGCCTAATTAAAACCATATCTCTAATGAGATGGTGCCTTGACTTACAAAGCAGTAACGGAAGGTTAATAACAGACCAGCAGCAGCACCATCTTTTCTGAGAAAAGCCGCTCCGCGCACTGGAAATTTAAATTAAACGAACGTTTAAAACCCGATTGCGCGAGCTCCCCGCCCACGGCAGCACCAGCGTCATGGCGTCACAGACAGGCACGCAGGGATCCCGCCCTCGCCATCTTTGTGACTGGCAGAACAACAGCACCTTCCATCTTTGTCGCAGGCACTATGCCCGCGCCAGTCTGAAAGATGGTGGTGTGTGGTCAGCAGTGACGTGCACGCAGTTACGTCAGTCGCTGAGTGCGGGGGGCTCTGAGAGATCCGGGCCTAGTTGTCACTGAAGCTTGGGAGCAGCGTGGAGTCTGCCTGCCTGCCTGCCTGTACCCCCTCTTTCCGTGGTACAGCGATAGCTGAGACTGTAAACTGCTATAAATCCTGAGGGTAAATACTCAGGGAGGAAAAGCTGAGGGAGAGGATAGTGGGGACAATATTGAGGCAGTTGAAGCGTAAATAGTGAGGGGTTAAATTCAGGGAGTAGTATTGGAGGTTAATTTTGAGGGGCACTGGTAAATATTGGGGAGCGCAATATTGTGAGTAGATTTTGAGGGAAAACACTGGAGGGGTGTAAATTCTGAGGGACAATTGATATATTTGAGGGTTGATGACTCAGGGAGTAAAATACAGATGTTAAAGGGCAAGGAGTAATTGTTGAGAGAGTGGGGTAACACTCGAGAATTCATAGAGACTGTTAAATGTAGGGAAAGCTAGGGAAGAAAATTGAGTTACTGTGCAAGTATAAGGTTTAGGATGGCAGTACATGTAGTGTGACAAACTGAGCTGATAAATTAATCCATCAATTAATAGGCTAAAAGGCAAGGCAAAGCAGTGGAGATCAGGGTTGGAGGCAGACAGCACCAGGATAATTCTGATAGAACACAAATAATTGTTCATGGGTTGAAGTCGAGATGCCTTGGCCTTTCTCTGAATCGATTAAGAAACGGGCATGCAGGTACCTGCTGCACCGGTATTTGGACCACTTCCTGGAGGAGAAGTTGAGTCTGGAGCAGCTGAGTGTGGATCTCTACCAGGGAACAGGCTCCCTTGCACAGGTTCCACTGGACAAATCGGTAAGGGCTGAAGTCACCTAGTATGCAGAGTCAAAAATAAAAAGAACAGAGCAGCAGCAAAGCTTGCTTTAGTATAAGTTAACCAGGTGGAGACCTGGAGTAAGCTGTAGAATGTTGGTACAGTTCTCTACATGGATGAGTAAGCATCTTACACAGAAACTGTGCAGATGTTCATGATGTGTAGTGGTGATTGTTGAATGAAAGTACTTGCATTTACATACTGCTTTCATGACCTTGGAATGTTCTAAAGTGCTTTACAGGTGCTGGGAGACTTTTGGAAATGTAGTCACTGTAATAAAGTAGGAACTGCAGCAGACAATTAATACACATCAAATTGCCATAAACAGCTATTAAATAAATCTCTGGTTGATCTGTTTTGTTGACATTGGTTGATAAACATCGGCTTGGACTCTGGAAGATAACTCTCCTGCAAATAGCAGCCATGGGATCTTGAATACCTACTGGTAAGGATAGACAGGGTTTCCGATTAGCATCTCCTCAGAAAGACAGCACTGGAATCATATGCTTAAGTCTCTGATGAAGAACTTGAACCCATGACCTGAAGGGAGGGACGGGTGATAGTATTGTATCAGTGCGGGAGACTTGTAAAGTTGCCAAAAAAGTTGTAAGCCCAAGGATTGAGAGGATTTTAGAATTAAACAATTGATCAAGGAAATAAGAATAGGATGTGAACGTGAAAAAGCAAGCAACATGAAAATAAATTTTACAAGCTTTTGTCAAAATGATTAGCAGAGACAAATGTAGATTGATTTCAGAGACAGGAGAATTTATAACAGTAAATAGAGAAGTGGCAGAGAAGCTAAATAAGTACCCTGTGTCTGTCTTCATGGAGAAAGACACAAGAAGTCTCCCTGAAATAATTAAGATCCAAAGGTCTAGTGAAAATGCCGAACAGAAAGAAATTATAATTGGTTGGCAGGTATTATTGGAGGAAGTAATGGGACTGAAAGTTGACAAATCTCTGGGACCCAATTACCTTCCCCCTGAAGTGTTGAAAAAGGTGGTTACAGAGGTAGTGGGTATGCCGGTGATCATCTTTCAAAATACAATTGATTCTGCAACGGGCCTATGTATTGGAAGGTTACAAATGTAATCTCACTTTTAAAGAAAGAAGGGAGAGAGATTCAGTGAACTACAGGCCTGTTAGCCTAACGTCAATAGTAGGGAAAATGCAATTTCTGACTGTTTAGAAAAGCATTGTCTAATTGGGTAGAGCCAGCATGGATTTATGAATTTGAAATCGTTTGACAAACCTGTTTTTATTTGAGGATGTTAATCACAGTTGATAAGGGAGATTCTGTGGTTGTTGTATTTGGATTTTCAAGAGGCTTATGGCAAAGTCACATGTGTGAGGTTAGTAAATAAAACTAAAGTGCATGGCATTGGGATAATGTACCAGCATAGATTGAGGATAGGTCAACATGCAGAAAGCAGAGTGTAGGAATATGTAGGCGGAATAGGAACAATATGGATTAGAATGTTGGTGGAATGATAAGTAAGTTTGAGGATGACATAGAGTGGCTGATTATTACTAGTGAGGAAGAAGGTTGTAGCTTACATGAAAGTATAGGTGGTTTAGTCAGATGGGCAGGTCAGTTATAGATGGAATTTAACCCTGAAAAGAATAAGATCATGCACTTTGGAAGAAGGAACAAGCCAAGGAAGTACTCAATGAAAGGCAGGATAAGACCGTAAGAAGTAGGAACAGGAGGAGGCTATTTGGCCCTTTGAGCCTGACTGATCAAGAATCTATCTTTCTCAGCTTTAAATATACACAAGGATTCTGCCCCCAAAACTCCCTGTGGCAAAGAATTCTAAAGACTCTCTATACTCGGAGAAGAAATTCCTCCTCATGTCAGTCTTAAATGGCACCGCTTTATTCTGAGAATGTGCGCTTTGGTCCTAAACTCTCCCATGAGGGGAAACATCCTGTTAGCATTTATGTTTCAACGAAATCGTCCTTTGTCGTTCCAAGCTCCAGTGAGTAGAGCCCCAACCTGTTTAGCCCTTATTCGTAAGACAATCCCTCCGTACCACGTATCATCGTAGTGAACCTTCTCTGTCCTGTATCCAATAAAATGATATCTTTCTTTAAATATGGAGACAAAAACTGCTCACAGTTGTCCAGATGTGGCCTTACCAGCACCTTGTAGAGTTGTAGTAAGACTTCCCTACTCTTCAACTCAAACTCCCTTGAAATAAGGGTCAACATTCTATACCCTGAAAAGGAGTACTGAAACCTTTTACCCAGGTACCCTTGTGTGACAGACAAGAGACAGACAACCAACTCAGAATTTAATTAAACAAACCCTTCTTTATTTAACTCTTTAAATACTTAACTGCGTAATATAAAACATACATTCATTACAACATTTCATTCTCCCTTTATCTAACTTAACTTCAGCTTTAACTCACTTCATTTAACTTCACTTTACCTTAGCTTTACTTAATCCACATTTAACCCCAACTCTCTCTTTAACTCTGTAAGTTTGGCTTGAATCAAATACTAACCCGATTCAAGTGAAGTGGCCAAATTTGTTCTCTGTATAGTCTCACTTCATGGTTCTTTTGTCTTCTTTGAAAGTAACTTCAGTGGCACATGTTTTTGCAATGCGGTCTGGAGGCGGCTTCTCCTCTGAGAAAAACTTCTTTTTTCTGTTGACTTATCTGAAAACGTGCTTTGTTCCAGAAACATCTCTGGCAGTCAGCCAAAGAATTGATCAATGCCTGATCATGTCGTTCAATCCCAACCAATGGAGTTTACTGGTAAACAAGTCCAAAATGTTTACAGCAAGTTGTAAACAGCAATATTCCATACTCCATATAATGTAGTAGTGGTGCCAGTATGTCTAGAGACCACCATGACACTTACTGTATTTGATCAACACAGGAAACTCGAGGTCACAGCAGTTTTAACTGAGGTCAGAGTTTAGATTAGCTTGTCTAAAATTCCCAGCTTGCTTGATTTGTAGCTCTTAAACAGACTCCTAGCGATTTCTGCTGCTGGCCACCTGATCACAGTCCCGTACCTGCCGCACCTATGTGCTTGCTTTCTGTGTTTCATGTACAAGCATCCCCAAGTCCTTTTGTCTTGCAGCTTCCTGCAGTTTTCTTCATTTAAATATTCTGTTCTTTTGTGCTCCTTCCAAAATAAGCAACTTTGCATTTTCCCACATTATACTCCATTTGCCAACTTTTTGCTCACTTAACCTATCAATATCTCTCTGTGAACTGTTTGTATCCCCTTCGCAACTTGCCTTTCCACCTATTTTTGTGTCATGTGCAAATTGGCTTCACTGTATTCATTTCATTCCACAAAGTCATTAATATATGTAGTATTCAGTTGTAGTCCCAGCACTGATCCCTGTGAAACCCCATGGGTCATCAACCTGAAAAAGAACTCCTGATCCCCATGCGCTGTTTAGAACATAAGAACATAAGAACTAGGAGCAGCAGTAGGCTGTCCGGCCCTTCGAGCCTGCTCTGCCATTCAATAAGATCATGGCTGATCTTTTCGTGGACTCAGATCCACTTACCCGCGTTCTCACTGTATCCCTTAATTCCTTTATTGTTCAAAAAAATATCTACCTTATCTTTAAAAACATTTACTGAAGTAGCGTTAACTACTTCACTGGGCAAGGAATTCCATGTTTCCTGCCCATTAGTCGATTCAGTCTCCATGCCAACATACCATTTCCAACACTGTGGGCTCTTAATACTTGACATTTTTGTCAAACGCCTTCTGGAAGTCCAAACACAACATATCTACTGGTTCCCCTCTATCCACCCTGGTTGAGACTTCCTCAAAACACTCCAATAAATTAGTAAGATATGTGATTTCCCTTTCATGAGGCCATGCTGATTCTGATTGATTGGATTAACATTTTTGGTAGATGTACAGTTGTGTAGGCTAATCAGCCAATAATTATCTGCTTTTTGCCTCCACCTTTTCTGAATATGGGTGTCACGTTAGTAGTTTTCCAATTGTCTGCTCCTTGTCCAGAATCCAAGCATTTTTGGAAAATTATCAACAATGCATCCACTGTCTCTGTAGCTACCTCTTTTAGGATCATAGCAAGTCATTGGAGCCAGGAGATTTATCTGCCTTTAGCCCCATTAGTTTGTCTAATACTACTTTCGGGATGGTCATGGTACTCCATTTCACCTTTATTCTTGAGTGTTAATAGGATGTTCGTAGCTCTGGTTGTTTTCTTTCGATCAGGGAAGGTTGAGGGGAGACCTGATTGAGATGTATAAGGGCACGGATGGGGTGAATAGAAAGCAGCGGTTCCCTTTAGTCAAACGGTCAATAGTTAGAGGGCATAATTTTAAGGAGAAAGGCAGGAGGTTCAGAGGAAAAAAAGACTTTTTCACCCAGAAAGTGGGGAATCTGGAATGCCCTGCCTGGAAGGGAGATTGAGGTCGGAAACCTCGCAACCTTTAAAAACTACATGGGTGAGCAGTTGAAATGTCATAACGTTCAAGGCTGTAGGCCAAGTATTGGAAAGTGGGAATAGCACAGATAGGTTTTTGTTTTGATTTATTACTGGCATATGTACTGAGATACCATGAAAAGTGTTGTCTTAGATGCTTTACTGGCAGATTGTACTATACAGGTACGTCGAGATATCAGAACAGAGCGCAGGTTACAATGTTACAGCTGCCAAGAAGGTGTAGAGAGAGATTAATAGTAACATTAAAGAGGTCCATTTAAAAGTCTGCTAACAGTGAGGAAGAAGCTGTTCTTGAATCTGTTCGTATGCGTATACAAACCTTTATATATTCTGCCTGACGGAAGAGGGTGGAAGGGAGTATAACCGGGGTGGGAGGGGGTCTTTGATTATATTGGTTGCTTTCCCGATGCAGTGGGAAGCATAGCTGGAGTCAACGAATGGGAGGCTGGTTTGTGTGATGGACTGGGCTGTGTTCACAACTCTCTGTAGTTTGTTTTGGTCTTGGGAAGAGTAGTTGCCATACTCTCCTTGACACTCTCTATGAATAAATGATTCATTCTCAGAGTGTTTAAGTGGTGAGAGATTGGGAAGTGTTGTGCCAAAGATCTAGGTGTCCTTGTTCATTATTCACTTAAAGCTAGCACATAGTTGCAGCAAGCAAGTCAGTTAGCTTTTATTGCATGAAGACTTGAATATAGGAGAAGAGAAGACTTGCTTCACTTGTATTGAACACTCGTGAGACATCACCTGGAATAATGTGGGCAGTTGTGGTTCCCTATCCTATGGACAGATATACATGCTGTAGCAGAATGCAGTTATGGTTCACCAAATTAATATCTATGAGGAGACTGGGCCCGTATGCTCTGGAGTTTAGAGGAGTAAGAGGCAATCTCCTAGAACGTTATAAAATTCATAGAGACGCAGTGGATGCTGTAAGGAACTTTCCCCTGGCTGTGGGGTCTAGAACCAGGGAACACATTCTCAGAAAAAGAGTCAAGTTATTTAGGACTGAGATAAGGAGGAATTTCTTCATTCTGAGGGTGGTGAATCTTTGATATTCTCTACCCTACAGGGCTGTGGAAGCTCAATCATTCAGCTGGCTCAAGACTGAAATCAATAAATTTATAGTCATAAGTGACATCAAGGATTACTAAGAATGAGATTGTGGAGTACTTGCAAATGCATGGTAAAATAGGGCTGAATCAGCACAGCTTTGTCCAGGGAGGTTATGCCTGACAAATCTGTTAGAATTCTTTGAGAAGACAATGAATAAATTAGACAAAGGAGAAACAAAAACAGAAATTGCTGGAAAATCTCAGCAGATCTGGCAACTTCTGTGGAGAGGAAGCAGGTAACATTTCAGGTTCAGTGACCCTTCTTCAGAACTCATTGTAGTTAGGAAAAGGTTGGTGTGCATGCGAAAGACGGGGTGAGGTAAAGGAGTAAATAATAGCTGGAGATGGAGCCCAGAGAAAGCCCAAAACAATTGAGCAGACAAAGGAATGGGTAAAGGTCATGCACTTTGATAGAAAATAGTCTACACCTCTATTCTCCCTAAACAGGGAAAGGCTTTGGAAATCTGAAGCACAGAGCAACTTAGAAGTCCTAGTTCAGGATTTTCTTCAGGTTAACATGCAGGTTCAATTGGTAGTTAAGAAGGCAAATGCAATGTTAGCATTCATTTCAAGAGGTCTAGAAAACAAGAGTAGAGGTGTGCTGTGAGGTTGTATAAGGCTCTGGTCAGAAGATATTTGGAATAATGTGAACAGTTTTGGGCCCTGTATCTAAGGAAGGATGTGCTGGTGTTGGAGGGGTTCTAGAGGAAGTTTATAAAAATATCCCTGGGAACGAAAGGTTTGTCATAGGTGTGTTTGTAGACTCTAGATCTGTGCTCGCTTGGGGTTTAGAATGATGCGGGGAGATCTGATTGAAACTTTCAGACTTTTGAGAGGACTGGATAAAGTGGATATGGAAACGATGTTTCCACTGGTAGGAGAGACTAGGACCTGAGCGCGCATTCTCAAAGTGAAGGGACATCCCTTTAGAACTGAAATGAGGAGGAATTTCTTCAGTAAGAAGGTAGTTATTTTGTGGAACTCACTGCTGCAGAAGGCTGTGGAGGCCATGTTATTTAGTGTCTTTAAGACGGAGACAGTAGGCTCTTGACTACTAAGGGGATCGAAGGTTATGGGAGAAGGCAGAAAAGTAGGGTTGAGAACAATATCAGCCATAATCGAATAGTGGAGCAGGCTAGATGGGCCAAATGGCCTAATTCTGCTCCTCTATCTTATGGTCTTATGTAGTGATGGCCTGGGAAAATGTTATTGAGGTAAATGATCTATCATGATCTAGAATGGTAGAGTAGGCTCAAAAGGCTGAATGACCTACTCCTATTTACATTTTCCTACCTCCTGAGTCATGACTTGATTAGAATAGCCGAATTTCTGATCTAATCTTCAACTTACAACTATTGGAAAGTGGCAATGACGTACAGGATATGTAATTGCAATTGGAATTACGTACAGCATTATTGAACAGATTTTCAGTCTTTGCTTAATCCATTATTTTCATTTTCTATCAACACATTTCTTTTTGTTCACAACCCCATGGATTAGTCCAGATCTGCGCACACTTCTATCCCTTGCTCCTGTAGATTCCTGTCACCCAGTGAATTTATTTCTGGGGTTTCTGTGTCCTTTCACTAACTTGCCTCAGCTGCTTTGAGGAACTTTTAGCAGCTAGACATGCCATCCTGCCTGTTAGCATGCTGCTTTCTGTTCGTTCTTTTACACCCCCAAATGAGTCTGACTATTCAATCATCTGTTACCTCTTGCCACAATCTTCCAACAGTACTTTTGGCTTTCTACGTTACTTCCACCCACTTGTTGAAAACTCCAAAAACACCCTTGATTTTGTTGTCATCCCCCATGTCATCTTCCTTTCCTCTGCTGCACCTCAGTGACTGACTCTGCACTTTGTAAACTGTTGGTTAAATTCCACCAAATTTGAACTTCTCTCTGTAGCATATCTGACCTGCCCAGATGTACTGTGTGGTGACCGAGAGTAGTGGTCCTGGCTGATTTTCCTGTCTCTAAACCAGATGAATATAAGACCATCTTAGTCTACCTACAGGGATTTCATTATCAAGGGGGTGGACTTGCTACCACCTGAGAAGTGGAACATGTACCTTAGATGTGTTTAAGGGGAAGCTAGATAACCTTTAGGTGGGAGAAAAGAAGAGAATGATATACTGATGCAGTCAGATCATGAGGGGTTAGGTGAGGTTTCTGTGAGATGTAAACACAGGTAGACCTGTTGGGCTTAGTAATCTGTTTCTGTGTTGTATGTGCTATTATTCCATGACCCAGAGGTGTTGTAACACTCTCACCTGTGTTTTGTTTTCTGCTTTCCAATCTAATCCGCAATAAACTGATGCTTGTGTATCTTGGGCAAATCTGCCAATAATGACTTGCTCATACAGAGCCGAGTATTCCTGGAAAAACAGAGATGTGCTGTCAGTGTTTTCATCTTAAACAGGTCAGGACATACACAAGAATACAAAATTTCACATCTCAGCTCTGAGTGGTCAAGGCATTCCATGGAGACGATATCACGGAGCTATTGTCCCCAATGCTTTTGTTTCAGTCTAAAAAGGTGCAATTGCTCAACAAATTCTTTTTGCTTGCAAGGTCAGGTCGTTGTGAATGAATATATGTAGCTTTGTAAGTAGGCTCTGTTAGTTCAACCTATTGCCCTCACATAATGTAATATACAGCTCAGTGTAGAAGATGTGTCATGTAACATTAAGCTCACACCGTCACCTATAGTCATAATGTCTTTGAAGTTCTGAAATCACTGTTTCAGCATAATATGATGCAGAAAGTTCACAGTTTTTTGAATAAGAGGTAAGTATGCTTCACTAGTGTCATTGGAAGTTGTAAATTGTGATGTACAGTTGTTCATAGGATAGTCTAAACAAAATGTATAAATTATTTTCAAAATATTTCCAAGCTGTTTGTCTGTACTGTCCAGAACAATGTTACAGCTCATATCTTGTTTATATTTCAAGTCCTTGAACGAAATCTTGGATTCACTTGATGCGCCTTTGGAAATAGTTGAAGGATTTATCCAAAACATTTCTGTTTCAATACCATGGGCATCACTTCTGCAGGAAAACTGTGCAGTGGGGGTACAGGGATTGGAGATGGTCTTTCGACCCAGGCCTCGGATAGGTAAGTGTAATTTTCACAATGGTGAGTTAGTACAATAGGACAAGGAGGAATCTGAACAACGGCTCGAATTTTGTGCTATTCACGTTGATCGTTGTTAATTTATGCATTAATTTACCTGCTTCGGTTCTGTAAAATTCAATTGATTTCTGTAAAATCAATTGCCTAGCAAAATCTGTTGGATTCAGTTTTAACATTTTCAATTGATGAACAACAATCTATAACAGTTTGCATTTTTGTTGCACCTTTACCATTGTAAAAGTCTCAAAATCTATCACGGGAGGATAATCAGAAATTGGTACTGTGCTGCAATTTTTTTTATGAATGGCATGTGGTTGCTGCCAGCATTTATTGCCCATTGCTAATAGTCCTGCAGTGGTTGGTGGTGAGCTGTGTTCTTGAACCTTGCAGCCCAGGATGTGTAGGTATACTCCAGTGCTATTAGGGAGAAGGTTCCAGGATTTTGACCTAGTGGCAGTGAAGGAATGTGTTATATGTTTCCAAGTCGAGGTGGTGTGTAACTTGGAGGGGGACCGGAAAATGGTGACACTTGCGCACACGCTGCCTTTGTTGTAGTAGGTGTTAGGGCTCACAGCTTTAGAAGATACTGTTGAAGAAGTCTGTTTGAGTTCTTGTAGTGCATCTTGTAGATGGTACACATACAAGCTAGGCATTTAAGAGTCAATCACTATAATTCTGGAGTCTCGTAGGCCAGGAATCAACAATGATCACCAATCAATTAGCTTGTCATTCCAGATTTATGAGTTTAATTTAAACTTCACTCTGCCGTGATAAGATTCAAACTCGTGTCCCTGATCTTAAGCCTTGGCCTCTAAGGTTTTGGAGTAGATTTGTAGCTTGGGTTGTGGGTGTTGTGGTTGGTTGGCTCGCCGAGCTGGTTTGTCGTTCCGCAGACGTTTCATTATCCTGCTGGGTAACATCATCAGCGCAGCCTCCGATGAAGCGCCGTTGTGTTTTCCCACCTGGTTTTTAAACTCTGGAGTCCGTTGAGCTGGATTACCTCATTTCCGGTTTTCCTCCGTAGCGGAGTGTATATGGGGTCGAGTTCTGTGTGTTTGTTGATGGCTTTCTTCGTGGAGTACCAGGCTTCTAAGAATTCCTGTGCCTGTCTCTGCTTTGCTTGTCCCAGGATCTTGGTGTTGTCCCAATTGAACTGGTGGTTCTCCTTGTCCATGTGGATGGCGATGAGCTACAAAAAGACACGACCAGTACTCACTCATCTCCATCCACATGGACAAGGAGAACCACCAGTTCAATTGGGACAACACCAAGATCCTGGGACAAGCAAAGCAGAGACAGGCACAGGAATTCTTAGAAGCCTGGTACTCCACGAAGAAAGCCATCAACAAACACACAGAACTCGACCCCATATACACTCCGCTACGGAGGAAAACCGGAAGTGAGGTAATCCAGCTCAACGGACTCCAGAGTTTAAAAACAAGGTGGGAAAACACAACGGCGCTTCATCGGAGGCTGCGCTGATGATGTTACCCAGCAGGATAATGAAACGTCTACGAAACGACAAACCAGCTCTGCGAGCCAACCAACCACAACATTAAGCCTTGGCCTCTACACTACCAGTCAAGTGACAGTACCACTCTGCCATCACTTCTCCCGATGGAGGTATTTGTACAGGTGATCAAAAGCTCAATGAAAGAACAACACTTTGAGCTACATCTTAAGAGAGAGGTGAAGAGGTTTAGAGAGGAAGTTCCAAAGGGGCTTGGGACTGACGGACTTGGGCAGATGAAGGATCTAGTTTCCACGTCCTTCATTTATTTTTGCTTTGAATGATAAACTTTAGAGATATCGCTGAAGTGTTAACACATAGCTGTCCTCTGGTGATGCAGTAGATGATACCCTGAAACGACTGAGATTTAATTTTGAACTTGGATATGCATTTGATTTGCTTCAAATAGGGCTATGGACTAAGAGCTGGAAAATGATTCAGGTTAGATACCTCTTTCTCAGCTCGCACACACAAGATGAGCTGATGAACTTTCTTCTCTGCCTCAAATGTTTATCATTCAGTCATCTTGGACTCTGGAATTCCCTCCCTAGGTTCTCTCCAGTTAGTTTAATACATCTCTAGAAACCCACTTCTTAACCTTCTTAATGCTGCTTCCTTTGACTGTGAGTCCATTTTGCATCTGCTTCTGTCTTAGTCAAGCAATGTGGGATTGCTTGTTCTGGTTTGAAAGCACATTGTAAATTGAACTGGTTGTTTAGAGACCTCATAATGCAATACCTGATGAAATTTACATGCCAGTTTTAATTATATTTACCCGAATATTGAAAGAGCAGTCAGATTTAGCATTTTTCAGCAATGACTGTCCCTCAGTAGAAGATGATTTCTGCTCAGGTTAGATACCATTTGTAGCTTTTTCATCACTAGTAACTGGAAGTGAAAAGATAGGCTAATGTTCTGGGTTGAAATCCTGCATTAGAGAAGCGCTGGTGGCTTTTCTTAAAATAACGATGTTGATGGTACTTATTGTCTGTCCCTGTTTGTCCTGAAAATTTGGTGGAGTTGATTGGCCTATATCTTGAGCTGCTGGGTTTGAAACAAACTGAGTCCCTTACTTGGCAACTGAAGAGAGCAGTTAACAGTCGACCAAGTTGCTGTGGGACTGAAATCACATGTAGACCCAGGCTGGGTAAGGACAGTAGGTTTCCTTCCTTTAAGTGCTTTAGTGGGGTGCTGTGTGTTTTCAGCACTTGTTACAGTATCTTATTACCGCGCTGTTATGTTGTTTTGAGAATTTGAGATGCAGTTGTTTTGTGGCAGTGTCTGGCACGGAGCCAATGTACTGGTCCAGCTTTATGACGGATAGTATGCAGCTGGCCAAAGAGTGCCTGAGTCAGAGGTTGACGGATGATCAAGCTGACGGACTACAGCCATTTGAGGGGCTTGAGAAGTTTGCAGAAACCATCGAAACAGGTCAGTAATAATGTTTAATTTGGGAATTCCTGCCTCATAAGAGAACTTGTATTTGTGCAGCCTGGTGTGGTTCTGAAAAGACCTGGAGATTAATGTTTGATTCCCAGTTTGCACTGAATTGCTGATGCTCAGCTGGTGTTTCATTATGGCAACAATGTCAACCTCAGCTGCTTGCAGGAGAGAGGCAAATAAACATAGCTAGGGTTCACTTTCCTGACCAATGAGACCAACTGAACATGTGTTGATGCTATCCAGCATGACAGTGTTACATCCTGAGGACAAAAGGCCTGCTGCAGCTCAATTGTGGAGACTAACCATCTGAGTAAATTGTCCGAGAGTCTGTCTCTCTAGCTGTTAAAGTCTAATCGTATAGGAGTGGGATAATAGTGTCAACAATTAATTAATTGTAACACCTTTCCCTTGATTTGATCATTGTATTAACAATATCTTTGTCCATCTCCACTCACTAAATGTTCTTCTTCTGAAGTACACTGACTCCTTCAGTGATATACTCTGACAGGATCCATCCAGGCATTTTTCACCTGACCGCCTCAATCTTGAGAGGTGGCATCACAGCCGAAGACCAGCTGCTTGAGCTCTGACATCCACACGAGGATACCTTCCAGGACAGGTTCCTACATTGTGATTAGGCGTTGGAACGTTGGCTGAGCTCGCAGCTCCCCCATTTTCCTTGCATCCCAGGAGTGTTGAAGCCAATGCTCCTACTCCAGGGTAAACCACTGGCTGCCTTTAAAACATTGATCTATCAGAGCAACTTCTAGACACTCTTTATTTTGCAATGCGATGGGCTTGTCACTGTTGTATGTCCTGAAGCTAATGTACATTCCTTCCTTTCCTTTCAAGTTTTAAGAAGAGTCAAGCTTACGTTTCTAGAAACTGTCCTCAGGATTGAGCATATCCCAGAGAACTCAAAAACTGGGATTGCCCTTGAGATTCGAATACAGAGGTACATGGAGAACTTTTTCTTCTCTTGCAACGGTGCATTTATTAGCCATCTCTGGTTGCTGTGCATTTTCATCACTGTGATTCCTTGTAATTGTTTTTCGTATTGGGTAACTTGCTAAGTCACTGCAAACTGAAAGTTGATGATAAAGGGAAAACATTCTTATCGCGGGGTCAACTCATCTGAATGTAAAGCTGCCTCTCTCTCTTTTTCTGAGTGTCAGTATAACTTCTCATTGTCTCTCCCATCTCTTTCTGACTCTTACAGAATTGAATACCGTGATGAATCTGCAAATGAGAGTCCAGATATTAGCATTCATCATCCCACAGCTTTTGCCCAAAAGAATCTGCAGCTGCGTGGAATCTCATTTTCTTGGCATGAATTCCCTGAAAGTGCGAAAACATCACCCAGAACTTCACCAATGCAGGTAAGTTCAAACTGACAGATTGACACGACATCCTTCAATTCTACATTGTCTATAAAGCAGAAATGCAACCCACGGTGCTTAATTGAAGGTCAAAATTCCAAATCAAAGATTAAAATATTAGGGAGGATGAACAGAAATTCAATTGTACAATTGGAGCTTAAAATGGCCTTTAGAGGAGGAGGGATAGTGGGGTTTGTGGAGGAATTCTGGTGTTTGACTCTTTAATGCTTGTGTATCCCTTTGAACTCTCCATCACCCCCGTCATTGTAGCCCCTATCTCTGGAATTCTTTACTTAACTTCCTCCTTTAAGATGTTCTTTAAAATCCATCAGTTTGACTAAGTATTTAATCGTCCCTGGAAGTATCCCAATTTTACTTAAAGGGCTTCAAAGAGCACAATGATCTTCTACACATTAACAATGCAATTTTCAGTATCAATACCGCCCCCCAACCAAAATCAGGCTTTTTGTTGTGATATTCCAGTACACTGCACCCCCATTTCCTTATACCAATAACCTGATTTTGATTTCTGTTAAATGCTTTCCATTGTAGAATTGTCTATTCAAGCAGCCTCTGCTGTGGTATTCACATGTGAAGATCCATTCTCCTTTAATAACTGCTGACTGTTGTTTTAGCCAATTTGCAAAATAAAACCATTCTCAGTAAGTGGCCTCACAAGTAGATCATCTAAGTGGCATCAAGAGGCAGACTAGCTGCTGGCAGATAGTTGGTTCTCCTCTTCCTTCTGGCCAGTTTCATTTCTGGTTGCTGAGGTGCTGGAAGCTATTTCGGGCATTTCTGCACCTCTCCTTGATATTGGGGAATGTCCATGGCTGGAAATGAATTTGCAGGCTCATTCTTTGAATGTTACACCTTTTGGTGAAGGCAGTAATACAGTGCAAACTGAGGTGCTAGCAGGTTTTCTGGCAATGCTGTGAGCAAACCTCATTATCGTATAATTGGCTGGGTAAAACCCAGCATAGACTGGGTGACCGCTTTGCAGAACATCTACGTTCTGTTCGCAAAAAAGATCCTGAACTACCTGTTGCCTGCCATTTTAACGTACTACCCTGGCTAACGTCTCTGTCTCTGGCATACTACAGTGTTCCAGCGAAGCTCAACGCAAGCTGGAAGAACAACACCTCATTTTCTGCTTGGGGACCCTGCAGCCCTCCGGCCTCAGTATCGAGTCCTTTAATTTTAGGGTCTAAACTCTCCCATGTCTTAGCCCCCTACCCCACACACCAGGCCTTGTCATCATATAGCCTGCCATTACACACTACCTATCGTTAGTCACAACAGTCCCCATTAACAGCTATTCACCCTCACAGCCTGATCGTTACCAACTCCTTTGTCTGTCCAATTGTTCTTCTCTCTCTTTAGGCTCTATCCTATCGTTTACTCCCCAACCCACCCACCTCCCTATTTTCTGCATGTAAACTGACATTTTCCCAGCCACCATCAGTTCTGAGGAAGGGTCACTGGACCCGAAATGTTAACTCTGTTTTTTTCTTCACAGATGCTGCCAGACCTGCTGAGCTTTTCCAGCAACTTTGTTTTTTTTCCTGATTTACAGCATCTGCAGTTCTTTTGGTTTTTAAAACCTGTAGTGATCATTTACGATAAAGCACATCCGAGATATTGTAGAGTTATGTCACACAGCACAGAAAAGGTCCTCCGGCCCATTGAATCTGCATTGACCTATCTACTCTAATTCCATTTTCCAGCACTTGGCCCTTAGCCTTGAATGTTATGACATTTCAAATGTCCATCCACTTACTGTTTTAAAGTTTTGAGGTTTCCTGCAGCAACTACCCTCCCAGCCAGTGCATTTCAGATTCCCACCACCCTCTGGTGGACAAACAATTTCTTCAAATCTCTCTAAACGTCCTGGCCTTCACCTTAAAATTATGCCCCTTATTACTGACCCTTCAATTAATTGGAACAGATTATTTCTACCCACCCTGTCCAAGTCCCTTACACACGACAAGATGTTCCCCCTCAGCCTTTTCTTCTCTGAAGAAAATGACTTGAGTCTATTCATCGTTAAAATGCTCCAACCCAAGCAATATCCTGGTCAATGTCCTCTGGTCATGTCTGGACTAGCAAACCAGAGGTTTTGTGCTGAAATCCCACTGTGGTGGATATTGAAAATAAACTGAACAAAGGAGTTGTCAGACTGTCATAACCCAATTGTTTCAGCAGCCTTGGTGCTTGGGATCCTGCCACACTCACCAGGATCTTGTCTACACTTGGCCCCGTCCCAAAAACTTGTGTTTAAAGTTGGCATTTTAATGCCCTGGCAACTAGGGGAAATTAAGATTGACTGCTCCCAACAGTTGTTGCTTCTGATGACCTGCAAGTGGCTCACCCTTTCTATCCACGCAGTTATGCACTTCCATTATCAGCTTTGCATCAAACTGTCCACAAAGAAATTTATGTACTAGTCAAATTCTTCGAGCTTGTTAAGTAAACAAAGACACCAGCAGAACAGATATAGGCAATTCAGCCCAATGTACATATTCTGTCAGTCAGTTAGATCATGCCTGGCAGTTATTGAGCTGTGACCCACAACCTTCAGCTTTTATAGGGAAGGGGACTGCTTACACCATCAACCTCCGTGAATAAGACGTTATGATTTTGGTCCATAGCAGACAAGATCTGATTTGAAGATTGTGACTTTCTGTACTGAATTCCCATGTCAGAGGATTTAGGTTTTCTACATTTATCCTAGAAAAACCATTAATCATTTTGAAGATCTCAATCAGGTCGTGGAAACACAGAAAATAAGGACAGGAGTAGGCCATTCAGCCCCCTCTGAGCCTGCTCTGTCATTCGACATGATCATGGCTGATCATTTCAACTCAGTACCCTGTTTCTGCTTTTGCCCCATACCCTTTGGTCCCTTTGGCCCTATGAACTATATATCTATCTTCTTCTTGAAAACATTGAATGTTTTGACTTCAAATGCTTTCTGTGGCAGAGAAATCCACCGGGTCACCACTCTGACTGAAGAAATTTCTTCTGATCACACCCCTAAATGGTCTGCCCTATAGCACTAGGCATTGACCCCTGGTTCTGGTCTCCCTGTTTTTCGGGAACATCCTGTTTGTCCCTGTCTAATCCTGCTAGAACTTTATATGTTTCTATGAGACTCCCTTCTCAACTTGTTCTTGTAAACTCATGAATATGATCCTAACATTTTTTTAAAAATTCATTCACGGGATGAGGGCATCACTGGCTAGGCAGCATTTATTGCCTATCCCTAATTGCCCAGAGAGCAGTTAAGAGTCAGCCACATTGCGGTGGGTCTGGAGTCACATTTAGGCTAGACAAGTCAAGGATGGCAGTTTCCTTCCCTAAAGGACATTAGCGAACCGGATGGGTTTTTCTAACAATCGACAATGGATTCACTGTTATCATTAGTCTCTTAATTCCAGATATTTATTGAATTCAGATTCCACCATCTGCCATGGTGGGATTCAAACCCGGGTCCCCAGATAATTATCTGGGTTTCTGAATTAACAGTACAGCAGTAATACCTCTAGGGCATCGTCTCCCCAGCTGTTCCAGTCTGTCTTCATACATCAGTCCTGCCATTCAAGGAATCAGTTTGGTAAACCCTTGCTGCTTTCCCTCCACAGACAGAGCGTCCTTACTCAGACAAGGAGACTAAACTGCACACAATACTCGAGGCGTGGTCTCAGCAATATCCTATATAATTGTAGCAAGAGATCCCTCTCCTGTACTCAAATCCTCTTAATAGAAAGGCCAGCATACCATTTGCCTTCATCGCTGCCTGCTGTGCACCTACATGCTTTCATTCAGCAACAGTGTGTGAGGATACCCAGGTCTCATTGCACTTCCACCTTTCCCAATCTATCCCCATTCAGATAATCCACCTTCCCTCCACCATCTAAACTCAAGGGATGGCATGAATTGCAACCTGACCTCATAATATACTGCATCAAGCCTGATAACTTTCTGATGAATTTGGTGTCCTAATCAAGAGATGAAGAACATTTCAGCAGGAGCGAGACACTCTCTGACATTGCAGCACTCCTCCAGGGTCAGACTAGATGGGGCTCAAACTCCTAGTCTTCTGACTCTGAAGTAAAAGTGTTCATAACTGTCTCAAGCTAATTATTTTTATGTTAAAAATAAAATCATTCTGCTGTATTATTTCACAGGAAATGGAACCAAAGCTCTCTCCAAGTTGGAACCCAAAAATAGTTTCAGAGCCTCACCCCCAATTCACAAGGAAAGCATCTGATGCTGTTCTCTTTGATCCAGTCCAGATTGGGAGTTGTGAAGGGAAAGTGGAACTAAAACTCACATTGAAACAGAATGAAGCACTTCCAATGGCCAAGGTCAGGAACTGATGCCAAGAGTTCTGTGTTTTACATAAATTATCTGCAAATTAATTCAATGCTTTGTTGGAAAGTGCTGACAACTGAGAGGAGAGTGGTTCTCTCAGCACTGGAACCAGCACAGCACTGATGGTGTAACATTGCTTAAAACGCAGTACGTATACCTACAAGCAGAGTATTCTTTCAGTCCCAGCATTATACATTTAGGGCGGCATGTTGGCTCAGTGGTTAGCATTGCCGCCTCACAGCGCCAGGGACCCGGGTTCGATTCCACCCTCGGGTGACTGTCTGTGTGTAGTTTGCACATTCTCCCCGTGTCCGCGTGGGTTTCCTCCAGGTGCTCCGGTTTCCTCCCACAGTCCAAAGATGTGTAGGTTAGGTGGATTGGCCATGCTAAATTGCCATAGTGCTCAGGGATGTTTAGGTTAGGTGGGTTAGACATGGGAAAATGCAGGGGTAGGGGAATGGGTCTGGGTGGGATGCTCTTCGGAGGGGTGGTGTGGACTTGTTGGGCCAAATGGCCTGTTTCCACACTAGGGATTCTATGATTATAGTGCAAAACCATAAAGTCCTGAGGCATAATCTATCATTGGGGCAAGTGATCTATTTTGGATCTTCTCAAATCAAACATTCTTAGCACCTCTATAATTTTTATACAGAATTGCAACATTTGAGCAGCAAATCGCACCACCTGTCATAAGTGTATAAATTCAAAGGATATTAAGCTGTTGCTAAATTGGATACTCCACTTATCTCTTGTGTTATTTAGTCAAGGTATGCACAATCAATTCTATCATGGACTCGAATCAATTATCTCCCAATGAGGTGAATAATCTTGAATCGAATGACCAGGGTTACAAGTCTTGGCGAAGCTGCTGCATGATTCATTAAATCATTACATCAAAACCTCATGACAATCCTGGCAGCACAATAACAAGATTTCCATCATGTAACACTGCACTGAGAATCTTTAGTCACCTTCCTCTTCTACCCCATAGTCAGCATAATATACAGAAAGGTCTTGAAATGGACAGAATACAGAAGACTTTGATTGAAGACTTCAATAAAAACACACAAGATTTTGTCATTAGGCTGAATAAGGTTCTGTGGAGGTCTGCAAGTTCTGAAGAACTATTTCCACCGTTTAGTAATTTAATTATTAGAGGACATAAGTTTCAGATAATTATCAAAATAACTTTAAGAAATTGGGAGTGTACTTTTATTCTTAGATATTCAGTTAGATATTATATAGAATACCTGATCCAAATAGGTAGAACTAAGAAACATTGATAGCTTTCATGACAAAACTAGATAAATATTTGAAAAGGGATATTTTAAAGGAGCTGAGAAAAGGGCAATGCTAATGGGACTAAGGATGCAGAGTTACCCTTGAAATATTATTAGCTTCCAGCAGGATACAGTGGTTAAAGGCACTGTGCATGTGATACTGAACTCCCCTAAGATCTGATCCCTGGTCTGTGCCCAGTTAAAAATCACATAACACCAGGTTATAGTCCAACAGGTTTGTTTGAAAGCAGTAGCTTTCAGAGTGTTGCTCCTTCCTCAGGTATAGTTAGAGAGGAGGTATCGAGACACAGAATTTATAAGTAAAAGGTCAGAGGATCATGCAACTGATGCGAATGTATTGAATTCATCATTGTGTCTAGTTAGTGAGTCTCAGCTGGGAATCTCCTGCTGGCTTCAGCATCCCTGAACTAGGGAGGTAGCATTATCTAAGGCTCCTGCTCACAGTCTTTTTTCCAGTGGTCCAGTTTCTATTAGGAAAGGATCTGATGTTACTAATGTTCAAATCTTCTGCCAGCTTGTAGTGTGTGGGCTGACCATGTTAAAAAAAAAGCCACTTGAGCAGTGTACCTTAGAGATCCTTGAAGTCTGTAGACATTCACCTCAGCAAGGGCCAGCACCTTATAGGGGAGCAAAACTGGGACAACAAGGTATAATTTACACTGAGGAGATGAAGATGAATTGATTGTTATGTACAGGAAAGCAGTGATTTAACTATTTCTCTTTCATACAGCTGGACGTGGAGGGACATATAGAGGCTGTCAACTTCTTCCTATCTCCACGACAGGTTCACCTCCTGTTGGATATGCTGAGCACCATTCTACTGCCAGGTCAGACTTTAGATAATTTGTTGATCTGTATTTCATATATTTTTACCTTTTGTGAATATAATGTTCCTACATAGTCAACTATGTGACCGACTGTCCACTGTTTGGTCTGGAATCACCATAGGATCCTCACTTCATTTCATCAGTTTTTGTTCTCTTCTTTTTCTTGTATGGCCTGCCTCGCCTAGCCTGTCTGCTTCTGTCTGTCTCGTGCTTTGTCTGCCTGCTGGTCCATCTGTTGCTTTTCTCTCCTCCAACCCCCACCCCAACCTACCTCCAACCCCACCACGAGAGTTTGTGGTCTCTTTATCATCGCAAAATAATTCCTGTGGTTGATCAGGTGATAGATGGCTATTTGCAGAATTGGCCCATGTCCCGAAAATACAGGCAAGCAGTTCTCAGGAAAGAATTTCTGTTGGCCTGATCTGGATCCTCTGGCTGTCCTTCAGAATCCTGGAAGTGAGTCCTTGGCAAAGACCTCACTTATTACCCAACCCCAGTTGTCATCCACTCAGTTTTGTTGGTGTGATGACTGTAGTGTATTCAAGCTCAGACCAGGTAAGGGCATCACATTTCCTTCTCTCAAGTAATTCAGGAAGCTCGTTGGGTTTTTACGACTAATGACAGTTTCATGGACATTTTTAACGAAAGCAGCATTTTATTACTACAAATTTTCAAAGTTAACTTCTCAAAAAGCCATAGTGGGATTTGATCGCCTGCTTTCTGGATTCTTAGTCAATTAGCATAAACACCTCTGTCCTAGTCTCCTTGTAGATATGTTTTACATTATATAAACCGTTTCATTGCAATTTGGTTTGGAGAAACTAGCTTGTTAGTTGGGTTTTATTGCCTGAGGTGAAGTCAGGCTCGGCAGACTACTGTAGACAAAGTGAAGGCTGCAGCAGATGTTTTCCTTTAGTTAGCCTGAAGCTACCTGATTGCAGCAGTTGTTATCTGAAGTGTTACTGGATCTGCACTTGGATTTTACTGCTTTCTGAAATCCATGATTTTTCAGCTTCTAAGGTTGACTGAAGAGCTCAGACTTATAAGGTGGAAGTGCAGCAAAAAGATTTGCTGATGGGTCAGTGCCCATTCATGATGCCACAGAGCTGTGTTTACTCCAGTATTACTACATTCAAAGCTGAGCAAGATTCTTGGATATGAGGATTTTAAGGGACATGAGAGTATGCTGGAAATTTGAGTGGATAAGAATGCTGTGGCTACAAGAGCAGGCCAGAGCTAGGAATAACTCCCCTCCTGACTCTCAAAGTGCCTGTCCACGTGTACAAAATACAAGTCAGAATTGTAATGGCGTCCTTCCCACTTACCTTCAACAACAATGAAAAGGCTTGACACAGCAGCCCGTTTGACTGGCATCACATCCACAAGTATCCATGCAGTAGCAGCAGTGTGTACCATCTAGCAGATAGTCACAGAGTCCTTCAGCATGGAAACAGACCCTTTGGCCCAGCCCAACCCGACCATGCTGACTAGGCTTCCTAAACTGGACTAATCCCATTTGTCTGCATTTGGCCCATACCCCTGTAAGCTTTTCCTATCCATGTACCTGTCCAAATGTCTTTTAAATGTTGTAATTGTACCTGCCTCTACCACTTTCTGTGACAGATTGTTCCATATATGCACTACCCTCTGTGGAAAAGTTGCCCCTCAGGTCCCTTTTAAATCTTTCCCAATCACCTTAAATATGTGCCCTTTAGTTTTGGGCTCCCCTACCTTGGGGAAAAGACCTTGGCTATTCATCTTTTCGATGCCCTTCATAATTTTGTAAACCTCTATAAGGTCACTCCTCAGTTTCCTATGCTCCTGGTGAAAAAGTCCCAGCTTATCCTTCTAACTCAAACCCTCCTATGATGATAACATCCTTATAATTTTCTTTTTTTTTTTTTTTTTTTTTTTTTGCAGCTTTTTCAGTTTAATGGAGGTGATGGCCTAGTGGTATTATCACTGGACTATTAATCCAGACACCTGGATGACATTCTGGGGACCTGGGTTTGAATCCTGCCATGGCAGATGGTGGAATTTAAATTCAATAAATATCTGGAATTAAGAGTCTAACGATGACCATGAATCCATTGTCGATTATTGGAAAAACCCATCTGGTTCACTAGTGTCCTTTTGGGAAGGAAACTGCCATCCTTACCTGGTCTGGTCTACATGTGACTCCAGACCTACAGCAATGTGTTTGACTCTTAACTGCCCTCTGGGCAATTAGGAATGGGCAATAAATACTGCCTAGCCAGCAACGCCCTCACTCCGTGAATGAATGAAGAAGAAAAAAATCCTTTCTATTCCAGAATTGTGCACAGTACTTCAGCTGTGGCCTCACCAATATGTTGTAAGCTGTAAAATGACATCCTAACTCATGTACTCAAGTGTTCTGACAGATGAAGGCAAGCATGCCAAATGCTGCCTTCACCACCCTGCCTACCTGTGACACCACTTCAAAAGAGCTGTGTACCTGCAACCCTGTCTCTCTGTTCAACAACATTCCCCAGGGCCATACCATTAACTGTTAGAAATTTTCCAAAGTTCCTAAGCATCTTCCAAACCCTGAAACACTTCCATTTAGAAGGACAAGAGCAGCAGTTACATGGGAATGTCACCACCTGCAAGAAGTTCTTCAAACCACTCACCATCTTCATTTGGAAATATACTGCCATTCCTTCAGTGTTGCTGAGTCAAAATCCTGCTCCGTTTCTCCAGCATTCTGTTTTTATTCCCTTTTTATTTATACGACTGCGTAGCTAGTGTTTAGATGAAGTTTCGGCAGTGGTTGGACTGAGTCAAAGGCGGAGGCCGGTAATATTGCTGCTATATAAAGAGACAGTTTCAGTGATGATATGGATGAGTGGTTGGATGTTCAGAACAGGGTGAAATAAAACACCAGAACTGCAAACAGACTAGATTAGTTGCACAGTTTCCAGGGAGAGAGATGGAATAATAGAATTGTAGAATGTTACATTACTGAAGGAGGCCATTCGACCTATCGTGTCTATCCCAGATCCTAAAAGAGCATCCTAGCTAGTTCCATTCTCCAGCCCTGTTTCCATAGCCCTCTAAATTCATCACTTTAGAACATAGACACAACTCTCCTTTGAAACCGTCTGTGAAATTCATCCCCTCCTAGGCGATGGCCTAGTGATATTATTGCTGGGCCGTTAATCCAGGGACCCAGATAACGTTCTGGGGACCTGGGTTTGAATCCAGCCACGGCAGATGGTGGAATTTGAATTCAATAAAATATCTGGAATTCAGAATCTAATGATGACCGTGAATCCATTGTCGTTTGTCAGAAAAACCTATCTGGTTCACTAATGTCCTTTAGGGAAGGAAACTGCCATCCTTACCTGGTCTGGCCTACATGTGACTGCAGACCCACAGCAATGTGGTTGACTCTGAACTGCCCTCTGGGTAATTAGGGATGGGCAATAAATGCTGCCTGGTCAGCGACACCCTCATCTTGTGATTGAATTAAAAAAAAAACTCTCTCAGGCAACACATTCCAAATCTTAACAACTCTGAGTGAAGACATCTCTCCATACCTCTTTCCTAGATCATGCTGGCAATCTTGCAATTGTGACTCCTAGTTCCTGACATGTCAAGAGGTGAAATCAGGATACAGTCAGTTCTGATATACAGGGGGTTCTGCTATCACGCGATTGATGGATAGGGGAACGCTATTTCTAGAACGTGAACTTGTGTTGGTTATAATGCGATTTCATCGAGTAGGCATCTTGCTGTCAGGAGCTCTTTGTTAATAATGTCTACAGTGTACTTGTACAGAGCTGTGATTCTGAGAGTCTCAGAGAAATCTCGCAGTCAGCCTTCATTAAAACTTAAAAGAAAGAGGTCAGCAGGTCTGTTATCAGGAAAAGTAGGGTGTAGGGGAGAGTGAAAAACGGTATATCTAACTTACCTTGAAAGGAAACACTGTGAGGCATAGTACCTGGGTACAACAGGAGGCTCCAGCAGCCTATTTAAGTAATTAGTCAGATCATGGTTGACTTGTTTCAACTTGATTTTCCCACCTTTGTTCCATACCCCTCGATACCCTTTGTGGTGTGGTGTCAAGATCGCTGAATTGCTGCTATGGCAACATACACATATGTATGCGTCACAGTCTGGAACTGTGGATAGTGGTGGTAGAGCCTCCAATGTTCTTTTAGTCACACGGCTGGCCAGGAATCTCTCCCAATCTTACAGACTGCCACTGGCAGTGTTGGAAGAATCTGCCGATTGATACTCAGTCTTTTTAAGTCACATTGTGAATGCACCTTCCCTGCCCATGGAGATCTGAAGCAGGAATTGAACCTAGATCTTCTTGCCTAAAGGACGTTAGTGAACGAGATGGGTTTTTCCAACAATTGATAATGGATTCATGGTCACCATTAGATTCTTAATTCCAGATGTATATTGAATTCAAATTCCACCATCTGCCGTGGTAGGATTTGAAACTGGTTCCCCAGAACATTATTCAGGTCTCTGGATTAACAGTCCGGCGATAATACCACTCGACCATTGCCTCCCCAGTGAGGAAACTTTTCACAACCTCAGAATGTTACAAAGAGCTTGACAGCCGCTGAAGTATTTTTGAACTGCAGTCATTGTAGAAAATACAGCAGCTAATTTTCACACAACACTCTCCCACAAGCAACAATGTGATTATGGCCAGACAATCTGTCGTTGTGTTCCTGACTAAGGGATAAGTATTGACCAGGACACCTGGGTAACTATCCTGAGATAACACAGAGCTGGAGGGACAAAGCAGGCCAGGCAGCATCAGAGGAGCAGGAAAGCTGATGTTTTGGGTCCGGACCCTTCTTCAGAAATGGGCCGTTTTTAGCCCATTTCTGAAGAAGCGCCCCGACCTGAAACGTCAGCTTTCCTGCTCCTCTGATGTTACCTGGCTTGCTGTGTTCTTCTAGCTCCACACTATTATGTCAGACTCCAGCATCGGCAGTTCTTACTATCTCTGGGTAACTGTCCTGCACTTTTTGCAAGTATCGAGGACGGTTGTCAATATGAGAAGGAGCTGTGAAGTTGCTGTCACAGTCGGGCCAACCTGTCTGAACAGCTACTGACAGTAGTGCTATCCTTTGTGTTATGCCTTTTTGGTGGTTTGCCCCTAATCCAGCTTTTCCCATAGGCCCAGTTATTTATTTAGTGCGATTTTCTATGACACCATATTGCGCTGGAATGCAACTATCGCGTTATAGGAGAACCCCCTATGCAACTGTTCTGTTCTCGTGCGATCTCGCGTTATAAGAAAATCGTGCAATAGCTGCACCATTTAAACTAATGGGGTCGGAATCACGTTATAGTCAGTACAGGTAGGGAAAGTTCACATTCTATAAATAACGGTCAAAATTCTTCAATCGCATTAAAGCTAATAGGCATTGAAGAAACTTACAATATATCAGAACAGACTGCATCCTTGTTTACCCTGTCAAAATGTGCATAATTTTGAACACCTCAATAAGGTCACCTCTTAATCTTCTTTGGTCCAAGAAGAGTAAGCCCAGTCTCTCTCATCTTTCCTTGTATCTAAAAATCCCTCATTCCTGGTATCAATACGCCTGGTGGCATAGTCCGTAGTAGGGACCAAAGGCAATAAATTTGGTCTTCCCAATATTTGATTCAAAGAAACCTCTGCCAGTTGAGTACTGGAGTTTGGATTAGCAGTCGTGAAAATTTGTGGACAGTAGTTGAGAGAGATTATGGTAAGGCAAAGCTGGTTCTTTGTCAATGGACAACTGATGCAATAGATTTTGGATGAAGTCACTGAGGTGTGGTATGTAGATATGAACAGTCAGGAATCAAGGATAGATCCTTGGGAGTCATGATGCCAGAGCAGGAGACAAAGCTGTTGCTGGTGATTGTCTGGTTATGTTTAGATTGATAAGAATGGAATCAGGTGAGTTGCAGTCCCAAAGCTGAGCACCAATGTTAAACCTGTTTGTAACCTGGGCTGAGGGACTGTTGTGGCGCAGTGGTAGTTTCCTGACCTCTGGTCGGCTTGTTTGCCGTGCAGAGTGATGCTAACAGTGAAGGTTCACAGCCTGTACCAGCTGAGGTAAACCATGAAGATCTTTAAAGCTTGCCCCTTACCTGAGGCATGGTGACCCTCTGGTTAGGCTCACCACCAGCCATCCCTCTAATATGAGAGAGCTGCCCTGTGATCCTCTGAGACCATGGTCACTTTACCTTAACTCTGGACCAGAATTGGTGTGCATATGCAGTTGCTAGTGACACCAGGTGTCACAGGCAGATGGTGGAATTTGAATTCAATAAATACCTGAGCCTGGATAGATCTCTGGGCAGGTCTGGCAGATGGTGATTGGGAGAAGAAGTCTAGTGCCAAGGTTGCCAGCATGAGAACAGTCACTCTCCAACCAGCACAGAAAGGTGAGATCCTGAAGGTCCATGTCATGCCAGATTGTAATTCCATCCCATTCTTTCTAACATTTCACAGAGCACACTCCTTAATCTCGATCACATCATTTCCACCAATCAGAGAGGTGGCATGGTGGCTCAGTGGTTAGCAATGCTGCCTCACAGCGCTAGGGACCTGGGTTTGATTGCACCATCGGGCAACTGTCTGTGTGGAGTTTGCACATTCTCCCCGTGTATGCATGGGTTTCCTCTGGTTTCTTCCCACTGTCCAAAGATGTGCTGGTTAGGTGCATTGGCTTCCATCTAGTTTCAGGCCAAAAGCCATGTTGATGCCATCAAAGGACTACCTCAGGGAAATTGAAGGAATAGTGTCTCCAGTTACATGCTGGAAGAGAAAGATCCCATTGATGATATCCTGGTCATATGTACACTGGCCAAAGTAAAGCCAGTGAACAAATATGCTGCACGCAGGGAGCTGGAGTTTGTGAAGTGGTTCAACCTTAAGAGCCAGGTGTGAACATGTCGTTCAACAAAGATAAAGTTCAAGCATCTGGGTGAAATCTGCATTTAATATGAAATTATCTGCCCTTATTAACAGTTTCTTGCTGCGGTGCATCTTATACCCTACCATATTGACCCTAATACATGGCCAACCAAACATGATGAAATCCTGTTGGAGATACAAGGCTCCCTACAAAACCTTTGCTTATATTTTTGGGTGTGCCTGTTCATGAAGTACTAGAATAATAAACTGTGACCAATTACAACAATTCACCTCCAAGTTTGGCTGGACTTGCTTCCTATCACCAAAAGTGAACCATGAGGTGGTACCCTCTGGAAATTGGACACCTTATTCAGAAAGAGCCAGGGTGTCACGGTGGTGGACATTTCAGTTCAGAATGAGAATGACAACACTCGTAACATGGGAAGAAAGGAAGGCAAAATGTCAACACTTTGGATTAGAAAACATGCAACTGACCAAGTCTCTGATCTCAACCACTTTGGCTTTGTGCTGGACAACAGAGCAAACGGCTTGAATGTAACAACAGCATCGTGAAATTCCTTAAGAGAGTCGTCAAGTGAAAGATGAAGCGATGAGCAAAACTGCCCAGCTTGTAGCTAGAGGTGGCTAACATTGGTGTCTAGGTGCCAGGGTCTGGTGAAAGAGCCAACATGGTGCAAAAACAAATAAAATGGGGGTGATAAAGAAAATGATGATTCAGTTTCACAAAATGCAGGGCTTAATTATTCATGGTGTATGGTAATGGGTTACTCCCATAATATTCAAAACATGTCAAATTGTGTTAATGTTCTTGGACTGCTAACAAGAATGGCCCTCAGGTCCACGATTCTCTTAGCACAGACCTTCACGTTTGGTAACTTGTAAGGAAAACCCAACTCAGTGTAATACTTTGGTTAACTAATAGACTTTTGTTCCCATGTCTGAAAACTCAAAAAGACAATGGTGTGAGCATTTGAAAACACTAAAAGCAGGCTTGCTGACCATTCACAATCAGGTGCAGTCTAATAGATACACATATTTCTTTTATAATTGATGTCAATGGTTTGCTGAAACTGAAACAATTATTTAACTGTCTTTGGTTTGCGGTTGTTGACTTGCTCGCTGAGCTGGTAAGTTTGTTTGCAGACGTTTCATCACCATACTAGGTACCATCATCAGTGCACGTCCGGTGAAGCGTCGGTGTTCTACCGTGCTTGTTATTTATGCGTCTCAGTTTGCTGGAGTGGGTGGCATCATTTCTGGATTTGTTTCTTAGTGGTTGGTATTTTGTTAATGGAGTTCCGGTTTGAGCGCCAGGCCTCTAGGAATTCTCGTGTGTGTCTTGGGTTGGCTTGTCCTGGGATGGCTACGTTGTGCCAGTTAAATTAGTGTCCCTCTTTGTCCATGTGTATTGAAATAAGTGATAGTTGGTCATGTTTTTTTTCTTTACTCATTCACGGAATAAGGGCGTCGCTGGCTAGACGGCATTTATTGTCTCTTGGTACCTAGTTGGTGTTCGTGAATCCTGCTGGCTAGTTTCCTTCCTGTTTGCCCTATGTAATATTTTTGGCAGTCTTTGCATAGTATCTTGTAAGTAACTTGTAAACAACCCACTTCACCTTCAATGGCAAGGTATATGGACAAATCAACGGAGCACCCATGGGATCACCGATATCAGGATTAATAGTGGAAGCCATAATGCAAAGACTGGAATGGACAACCCTTCCCATCATCCAATCAAAACTATGGATCCGCTATGTGGATTGCACCTTTGTCATTATCAAATGCTCTAAAGTGGAGGAAACCCATCTACTCCATCAACATCCTCACCAGCATAAAATTCAACAGGGAAGAGGAGAACAACAATGGACTTCCTTTCCTGGCTGTAATGGTCGAACGTATAGCCAATGGTGAGCTCCAGACCAGTGCACACAGGAAGGCCACCCATACGGATTAGGTACTCAACTACAATAGCAATCATCTCAATGCTCACAAACCGAGCTGCATCAAAACACTGTTCAAGTGAGCCACAACACACTGCAGCACCCCGGAGCTGCGCAAAGCTGAGGAAGAACACGTATACAGCATCTTTAGAAACAACGGTTACCTGAAAAGCGTAGTCTGCCGATACCTACACAACAGACCACAAACAGGAAGGCACAACATGTCCAGCGACATAAGCCCCCCTACTGTACATTACGGACATATGAGATGACCACCAGATTACACCGTCCCCTAGGATTCACGGTAGCTTACAAACTGACAGCTACACTTCAACAGCCACTGACGAGAGTAAAGGATCCGACAACAAAACAGAACCAACGTCATTTACAAGATACCACGCAAAGACTACCAAAAGCGTTACATAGGCCAAACCAGAAGGAAACAAGCCATCAGGATTCACAAACACCAACTAGCTACCAAGAGACATGACCAACTATCACTCATTTCAATACACTTGGACAAAGAGGGACGCCAATTCGACTGGGACAATGTAGCTATCCCAGGACAAGCCAACCCAAGACATGCACGAGAATTCCTGGAAGCCTGGACTCAAACCGGAACTCCATTAACAAACCTGTAGAGCTGGACCCCACATACCAACTACTAAGAAGCAAATCCGGAAGTGATGCCACCCACCCCAGCAAGTCAAGATACATAAATAACAAGCAGGACAGAACACCAACGCTTCACCAGAGGTGCACTGATGATGGTACCTAGTATGGTGACGAAATGTCTGCAAACAAACTTACCAGCTCAGCGAGCAAATCAACAACCCGAGCCCCACAAATCTTCTCAAAATCCTTGTCTTTGGTTTGTTCAGGGTGTGCCGAGGCAACAACTGTTCCATCAAAGAGCCGGAGAAATCGGCCAATGCAGCAGGAAGATCAGTATCTGATTCAAATGGAACTCAACCGATTCATGCAGAAGGAAAAGGGTTCCCCTGGCATCTCAGCAGAGCAAAGCTATTATGAGACAGAAACCGTTCGAACAACTTCAAGCAGAGGTATGATGCAAACTCAAAGTTACAACGTCAACCAAAACAAACCAACTTTAGGAAGCACAGCTTTGCGTTGACATCTCATACACACTCTCAAATACAATGTTGTGAGAATGTAAAGATTAGGAGAGAATAGGTCATATGGTCCTTAAAGCCTACTCCATCATCCAGTAAAACCATGATTGATCTATGACTTTAAATCCATTTTTTTTCCCCTTAGAGTTCAAAAATCTATCCACTCAGCCTTCAACATACTCAATGACTGAGCATCCCCAGTCCTCTGGGTTAGAGAATGGCAGCATTTCACAGCCTCTGAGTGAAAATTTTTCTCCTTATTTCAGTCAAAAATGGCTGACCCCATATCCTGAGAACTGTGGACGTTTTTGACTTCAGCCCAGGTAAACAGCCTCTAATCTGCTACCCTTGTCAAACCTTATAATAATCTGGTATGCTGTGTACAATTGCAGCAAGACTTCCTTACTCTTGTACTTGCCCCCATATGCCCGGTTATGTGCAGCTGGGACTATTCACCTTCACTATCATGCATGCTCACTCAATCAATGGTAGCCCCTGTTCACTCTTTTTGCTAAGGTTGATTAACTCCGTTAAGAATAGGGAGGATGAATGTTTTAGCACTTAGCTCAATCAAATATGTCTTCAGGCAGATTAAGTTGAATGTTCATTTCTGAATTGTTATTTACATTTTCATTTCTCACAGCAGAAGATGATGTCTTCTTCTCAATGGCAGACATGGAAATGTCAAACAGTGTGGCATCTCTTCCACCCCTTGGAGAGCCAACAATTGATATGGAGTTATCGTTGAGTAGCACACATGCCAACTCAACTGGCAGTTCTCCACAGAGCACACCAGGGGTAAGTGAGGGAGAATGAATGCCATCATACGTGAAATGTTGTTATTTCTCTGATAGTCCTTATTCTATCCAGGGGTAATTGAGAAACATCATGTAGCAGTCAATATGTAAAAGATTGTTATCCGAACCACACTGAACCTGACCATCACAATGTGTATAATTGACAACACTTGCTATATAATTCTATGCAGCTGGTAATGTGATTGTTATTGTGGTATTGTCCTTATGTAAGGTGTAGCAACCCCAAGTTTGAAAGTTCAAATTTTGTTATGGCAGGTTGCAAAATTGGATTAAAGAGATCTGGTAATTTTGTGGGCTGGTACCAGAAAATTGATGGATTGTCATTAAGCCCCAACTATTTTGCTAACACACTTAGAGTCATAGAGTCATACAGCATGGAATCTGACCCTTCGGCCCAACTCTTTACTCTGACCAGACATCCTAATCTAACCAAATCCTTCTAAACCCCTTCTATTCATATACTCATCCAGATGCCTTTTAAATGTTGTAAGTGTACCAGCCTCCTCTGGCTGCTAGTTCCATACATGTACCACCCTCTGCCCCTCAGGTCCCTTCTAATCTTTCCCTTCTCACATTAAACCTGTGCCCTCTTTGGACTCCCCTACCCTGGCAGAAAAAACCTTGGCTATTCATCCTATCCCTGCCCCTCATGATTTTATAAACCTCTATAAGGTCACCCCGCAGTCTCCAATACTCCAGGGGAGAAAAGGTCCCCAGCCTATTGAGCCTTTCTATTTATCTCAAATCCTCCAATCCCAGCAAGATCCTTGTAAGTTTTTTTCTGAAACCATTCAAGTTTAACAACATCCTTCCTGTAGCAGGGAGATCAGAACTGAATGCAGTATTTTAAAAGTGGCCTCACCAATGTCCTCCAAAACAATATTTCATCTAACTGGTCTTGGTTTATGCTCAACATCAGCTTTGTCTCTTCTCTCTTCATCAACTTTTATCAGTTCATACTTCTGTTCCTTTCTTTCCTGTGTGCTTATCCAACTTCTGATTGAATGTACCAACCTTAAAGAGCAAAGAAAGCCCAAGGGTCCCACTACGCTGACATTACCAAATTCAGGGAAGGAAATCTGCCACCTTTGTATGTTCTGGGTAATGTGACTCCAGCCGTGCTGGAGAGCATGTCTTTTATAGTGGGCTAGCAACCCATTCTGAGACTTGCTAAAGTGAAAGTTTGACAAGATTCCTTTATTGTAGCCCCCTAAGTTTGGACTTGCCCACCAGCTGAAATATTTCCTTCACAGCTGCTTTATGAAACCCTTAATGTAATTTTAAAGACCTCAATCAGGTCACCATTCAGACTGTTTTCTGGAGACAAGATCCCTATCCTGTTCTGTCTCTCCTGTTAGTTGTAATTAAAGAGAAATTGTATACAGCGATCACTGGAGGGCATTAATTAAGATCTGTCTTGGATATACTTAGAGAGGCTTGTGGAAACTGGAGTTGTTAATTGTTATGTTTCACTGCTGAGCAAACATTAAACTAGTTAAGATTGGCTCCAGTACTGTCCCTACTCAACTAATTTTCTGGTGTATGAGTTATCTCTCAGTTCTGGCATTATCCTTGTAAATCTTCATTGCATCTTTTCCAGTGCCTTACAATCTTTTTCATAATTAGGGAGAACAGAACCACACGTAGCTTTGCAGATGTGGTCTGATGTATGTTTTGTTCAAGTTTCGTGTAATAATTTTATTAATCTAGAAATGAGGCCAGCTGTTGGTTTGTTCTTTTATGTAATTAATTGTGACTTGTCAGTGTCATCCATATGTTGAGAGTAACTGTTTTTTACTCTAAACATTATCCAAAACTAAGGCATCAAATTAATTTTTCTACTTGTTTTAGTTTTCCACATCATGGGACGATTACCTGGATCACTCTGGGCAAGGTGGCCGGGCGGTACAGGAGTCAGCGTTTAACTCGAAAGAGTTACCCATAATACAGAGACCTCTCCGACCCAGCAGTAAGTTATAGACGGAACTGTTCCACATAAGTATGTACTACTCAGTTCAATTGAAGCAGGGTACTAGGACGGCACTTCAACTATGAAATGTTCAGCTTTGGTCAAGTGAGAATTCTGAAAGTGCTGCATGTCAAAGTGGATATCACTGTTGATGAGCAAGGCATGAAGATTGTTGTTGAGGAATTGTAGTTAAATGTGACTATCCTACTCCACAACCTCCACTCAGTATTGGTGGATGCTATAAATCCTTTTAAGGTATTACCTTGAGAGGACTCGAGTTGCACAGCAAGAGCTTGAGCTGAAGATTTCCTGCCACAGGACATGAAACAAATTACCAGCAAAAGGCATTGAAGTGGTCAGTGCAGTGATTTCGTAACTGCAGCACTGCACTGAGGATGTTCCTGGGTTTTCAACCATGGCCTTTTGTGTGTTGAATCAGTGCCAAGTCTTACCAGGATATTGCTGGGACTGGGCAGTTTCTCCATGAGGCGAGGCAGGATAAGCTTGTGTGGTTTTCTATGGAGTAGAGAAGGTTGAGGGAAACCTGATAGAGGTATATAGATCATGACGGGCATGGATAGAATGGATCTGTTCCCCTTAGTTGAAGGGTCTGTAACAAGAGGGCATAATTCAAAGTGAAAGGCAGGAGGTTTGGAAGGGATTTGAGGAAAAATCTTTTCACCCAGAGGATGGTGGGAATCTGAAATGCACTGACTGGGAGGGTAGTTGAGACAGGAAACCTCAGAGCCTTTTAAGAAGTACTTGGGTGAGCACATGAAGTCACAGGGTCATACAGCATGGAAATAGACTCTTCAATCCAACTTGTCCATGCCGACCAGACATCCCAATCTGATCTAGCCCCATTTGCCAGTATTTGACCCATATCCCTCTAAACCCTTCCAATTCATATGCCCATCCAGATGCCTTTTAAATGTTGTAATTGTAGCCACCTCCACCACTTCCTCTGTGAGCTCATTCCATACATGTGCCAACTTCTGCATGAAAATGTTACCCCTCAGGTCCTTTTCAAGTCTTTCTCCTCTCACCTTAAACATATGCCCCGTAGTTTTGGACTCCCCTGACAAAAAGATGTTGGTTACTCACCCTATCCATGCCCCTCATGACTTTATAAAGTCACCTGTCAGCCTCCGATGTTCCAGGTAAAATAGCCCCAATCTATTCAGTCTCTTCCTGTAGCTCAAACCCTCCAATCCTGGCAACATCCTTGTAAACCTGAAGAAGGATAGAGTGGACAGCCAGAGAGTTTTCCCTAGGGTGGAGGTAGTTATTATGAGGGGGCATAGTTTTAAAGTGAGTGGAGGTAGATATAGGGGACACATCAGAGGTAGGTTCTTTACTCAGAGTGGTCAGGGTGTAGAATGCATTGCTGGAGAGGGTAGTGGAGTCGGCCTCATTAGGAGCATTTAAGCGGCTATTAGATAGGCATATAGATGATAGTATAAGGTAGGGGTGGAGGTTAGATAGACCTTAGGATTAAGGTAAAAGTTCGGCACAACATTGTGGGCCGAAGGGCCTGTACTGTGCTGTTGTGTTCTGTGTAAGGGTCAGTCACTGGACCCAGAACATTAACTCCGATTTCTCTACACATACACTGCCAGACCTGCTGAGATTTTTCATTATCTAATTTTCATTTTCAGTAATTTCTGTTTTTGTTTTGTTCCAGCATTCGTGGTTCATTTTGTTAATCCTTGTGAATCTTTTCTGTACTCTCTCAGGTTTAACAACATCCTTCCTGTTGTCATAACATTCAGGGCTGTGGGACTAGTGCGGGAGAGTGGAACTAATGAAGGTAGTGGTGTATTTTTGGTGGTGCAGACTTAATAGGCTGAAGGACTTCTTCTAAATCTATGATTCTACACCTTGCAGGAATGGATAAATAAGCAGAGAGTTAATTCTCACTTTGGTGGCTGTGTGAATCTTCCCGCAACAGGCATTGGCTAGAGATATTTGAATGGGCACAGACAGAATGTGCTGTTGAAAATGAAGAGTGGAAGGAATGAATTTCCAGGTGGAAACAGCACAGGCCATGGAGCAAGTCATTAGCCCTGCCCTGCATCCTTGTAAGCCATCCCCACCTCCCCAGCCAGTCCTGCAGCAAACCAGTTAGATCGGGACAGACTGCAGGGTTGGTTGGACTAATAGTTGAAGAACTCCATAGTTTGAAGGTCTTAAAGTGTGAGTGTGATGGATTTTAATTTTAATAGTGTGTTAGCAGCGAGCAGGAGAGGGGAGTTATGGGATGATTTGGCACGAAGAAAAGGGGAGAGATCATTGGGGCACTGATGGTAGCATGACTAAAATAGGCAAGAACAGGTCGAATCTTGTGTTTTAAAAGATTGCCCATCCTTTCTTCTTGTCTGTTTTTCAGAGTGTTAGTATTCTCTCGTTTCTTGTATACTTTCCCTGCTTTTCTTTCAGGTTTACATTCCAAATCACATTCCATTGATGAATCCAGACCTCAGGTTGTTATCCGGCTGACTATTGGCAGTCTATCCATGTCAGTGCTGCACATTGATCCACTGCCGCCACCTGAGAACCCGTTGCACCTTGATCCTCTGAGCAGGATGGCATCCCATTTCTTTGAGCAGTTGAAGACCCTCAATCTGTCTCAGTTTCCAGCAGGGGAATTCAATGCCTTCCGACCCAAGTTTGCTGCAGCTTGTCCCCATGACCATCTCAGGTGAGCAGCATTGTGTGATTTTTCTACGTTCTGTCCTGTACCTACCCAACACTCACCTTAGTCCACCAAACAGAATTGTTTTCCTTTTTAATTTGTCTCGGTCCACATTTTTCCAATGGAATAGAGATGCCAGTTCCCCAGCTCTGATAATCTGTCATCCCAAAGACTTGGCATAATTCAGCCATCATCTGAAGGGGATAGACATGTCAAGGCTCTAAACTCTTGGATTTGTATGCCAAACCTCTCTGGTTCACTTCCTTCTCTGTTATCCTTTCAAAGCACCTCTTTGACCTGGTTCATGATCACCTACGCTAATACCTCCTTGTGTAGCTTGGTATCAAATTGTCTGGTAATTGTTTCTGGGGGCGACCTTGGAATATTTTACAACATTAAGGTATTAAATAAATGTAAGTCATCATCGGTAATCAAGTCTCTGAATTGTGGTTATTTCGCAATTTGCTTCTTTGTTTCTGGTTCCACAGGCTCTTTGCAACTGGCATCAAGCTGAACTATGAACAACGACTTGGCACCAGTTCTCGAAGCTTAAACACAGATGTCTGCATTAACTGGATGGAACTGTTGGAATGTCTCTTCCCTATGGATTCAGTGACTGTTGTACCACAATATACAGAGGTCAGAGACATAAACATGCAAAAACAATAGCCAATATTGTTTCTGAATTTCTGTTTACAATGCAGAGCCTGCTTGTTACATTGCACAGTCCCTTTAAGATTGACCCAGTGGCGAATGTACATATTTTAAAGGAAATGCTGCTTGTGTATAGCAGGCTTGTTGCCCATGTGACCAGTTACTGATAGCTGTTCCTTATACCCACACAGCATAGAGGGAATATTGGAGCTGACAGAGACAGATGTGAGCTCATTCACTCACTCAGGCACTCTTAGTACACAAACAACTGATTTCTTCATTCTTTATATTTATTCTTTTGTTAGTTTATAAATATAAAATATGGTTTCTTTAAAACTTCCTTCTGTGAAAATGTGTACATGCCTCTGAGTGAAGGCTGTGGAAGGTGAGGGTTTCTAAGTCTTCCTGGCCTTTTACCGGCGGATATTGTGGCTTACTTAATACTCTGTCGGGTAACCAGTTTGACAGAGAAGGGGAAGCAGGTAGTGTGGTGAGGCAGAGCTAGTTGGTTGATTCGACAAAATGGTTCAAACACAATGCATCAGCACTAATTAATGCCAAGTCAGGACAAGGGGGCTCTTTCTGTCCTTTTCCCATTAATGTACTTCTGCACCAAAATCACGTCTTCTGAGGTAAGGTCACCGGACCTGAAACATTAACTCTGATTTTTTTCTTCACAGATGCTGCCAGACCTGCTGAGCTTTTCCAGCAATATCTGTTTTTGTTCCATAATCACATGTTGTTTTCTGAGACAGCCATTTCTCTGATTCCTTTGTAAATGAGAGTGCCAATTACTATTCCTGTTGGGTTTATATCATGTGTCCGTGAGCATGGGGAACCTCTTTGAGATTACCCAACCCTAATTCTCTAAATACTTGCAGTCAAAATTTCAATGGCATGGATTTGAACTCATATTATGGAGGTTTAAACACTTTTTTAGGGTTACACTGCTCCGTGATTAATGTGTGCTGCTGAAAGTCTTGCTTTTTTCATTTTTCTTGTTTATTTTTACAGCTGATCACTTTTCAGTCAGTGAGTGAGACAGGAGCTCATCCCACACCTTCAGTACAGCTTCACTATAAGCACATCGACCGAAGAGGAATTCAGGTACATAACCACTAATCCCTACCAGCTTTAGGGGACTGTCAGTTGAGAATCCAACATTGTTTTACTTTGCACCAGAAAAGTTTTGAGTTATGAGTTTTAAGGAGTCGTTGGATAGGCTGGGACTTTTTCCACTGAAGTGTAGGAGATTGAGGGGTAACTTTATAGAGGTTTACTTTTTTTCTTTATTCATTCACGGGATGAGGGCGCCGCTGGCTAGGCAGCATTTATTGCCCAGAGGGCAGTTAAGAGTCAGCCACATTGCTGTGGCTCTGGAATCACATGTAGGCCAGGCCAGGTAAGGATGGCAGTTTCCTTCCCTAAAGGACATTAGTGAACCAGATGGGTTTTGCCAATAATCGACAATGGATTCACAGTCATCATTCGACTCTTAATTCCAGATATTTTTATTGAATTCAAATTCCGCCATCTGCCATGGCAGGATTCAAACCCGGGTCACCACAACATTATCTGGGTCTCTGGATTAACAGTCCATCGACCATACCACTAGGCTATTACCTCCCCTCTAAAATCATGAGGGCTGTAGATAAGGTGAATGGCAGGTGTTTTTTTTTCCCTAGGGTGAGAGATTTCAAGACTAGGTGGTATATTTTTAAGAGTGAGAGGAGAAAGATTTGAAAAAGACATGAGGGGAAATTTCTTTTACATGGAGAGTGGTTCATGTGTGGCATGAACTTCCAGAGGAAGTGGTGGATGCGGGTACAGTTACAAAGTTTAAAAGACATTTAGGCAAGTACATGAATAAGAAATGTTTGGAGGGATATGGGTCATGCATAGGCAGGTGGGACTAGTTTAGTTTGGGATTATGGTCAGCATGGACTGGTTGGACCGAAGGGACTGTTTCTGTGCTGTATGACTCTTCTGACACTATCCAATTTGAACACAGCAGTGTTTAATTATGGGGAGAATTAAGAATGACCATGGATTTCCTCCAGTACAAAAGTCAAATGTGCCACTTGAACTGTTTTATTTAGCAGTAGAACTCAGTACTTTTTCGGTACTACTTTTGTCCCATCTTCCAAGCATACAGGTATAAAATTGGCTTCTTTAGTTTACAGTAAAGTCCTGTGTTCATGTGCCCTCCCTTCATGAAATTGCTTATTTACACAATACTAACAATGCACCTTCTGCTTATCCATGTTTTTAACGATTGAGAAAACCCGAAGTAGTAGTGAGCAATGTTTGCTGTTTGTGAAAATGATTGACCCCAGCGTTCTCCAGGAACCCGCCTCCCATGAATGAGGGAATTAAAACAGGTTTCAATAGTAGCCAGCCAATTCATGACACAATTTTTACGCTTAGGGGAGCAAGTTGAAAATCTATCTCATGGTCTCTTGCTGCTCAGGCCAGTATAACTCTCACCAGCGTCTATGCTTCCTGAGTGAGCTTGCACACACAACAACACAGAAAAGACATCCTAGAAGCATGGTACTCCACAAAGCATGCTATTAATAAACACATTGAACTTGACCCCATATGCATTCCACTACGAAGGAAAACCGGAAGTGAGGCAATCCATCTCAACGGACCCCAGAGTTTAAAAACAAGATGGGAAAACACACCGACGCTTCATCGGAGGCTGCACTGAGGATGTTACCAAGCAGGGTAACGAAACGTCTGCAAAACAAGAAACCAGCTCGGCGAGCCAACCAACCTCAACAACCTCGAGACATTTATCTTCAACTATCTCGAACAATCGGCCGAGCCCTGGAGATCATTCTGGCCCTATTATTACATTTGTCTGAGGTGATTTCTTCCCCACCAGGAATAGGTCCAGCTCTCACTTGAAGGAATTCAGTGATCAGCATTCTCTGCAGGAGCTGGCAGCTTGTTTTACAGGCTCACTGGTCTCTGGGAAAGGAAATCATTCCTAAAATCTAACCTAGTTCTGTCTTTATCCAAGCCTTTATCCGTCAAGTCAGAGGAGATCCCTGATGTCATCTCAGTTCTGCATTTGTTAAATACTGACAATTTTTTTTGTTGCTGTATGTTTACTACTAAATAGCCATCTGAAATAATACCATTTTTCCCCCTATGGTAATTAATACTATTGTTGAAAACTTGGGACAGGTCTGAATTGCATCTTAGCATTTTCAGTAGAATCCCACATAACAACAACTTGCTTTTATATAATGCCCTGCACATGTAAAAATGCACTTCAGGGACTGTGGGGTAGACAATAGATGCTGAGCTGAGGGAAGAGATACGATGTGGGCAGAAAGTAGGTTTGGAGGAGAGGACTAAAGAGGGAATTCCAGAGAGTAGATCCTGGCTAGCTGAAGGTACCAGGATCAATGGATGGTATGAGTTGAGGAAGTGCATAAGAGGTAGGGGTCAGAGAAACTGAGTTTAGGTGTGAGTTTGTAGTTCTGGGAAAGGGCATTCAATTAGGGAAAAAGCAAGGTCAAGGACAGATTTAATCAGCAGGATTTGGGAAAGAATAGAGGACGGACGGTGTGACCAGGAAATCATTGGAATTGTCAAGTCTCAAAGTGGTGAAAACATGGTTAAGAGTTTTGGCAGCCGAAAGGCTGAGTCTGGCAATACTACAGAAGTGGAAGCAGGCAATCTTTGAAATTGAGAGGATATGGCCAGAAGGTCAGTGTGAGAAATCAAGGTTGAGAAGGAAAAAGAAGTTTGTTGTTAACTCTGCTCTGATGTTCACCAGAGCTTGGTGTAGTCCAGCCAGATATAGTTGATAGACAGTGAAGGTGTTCACATAGGCAATGAAAACTCTGAAGCCATTTATCAAGGTCATAGAGGTCTGAGTTCCTATTTGTAACTAAGTGATTGTCTAATTTTAATTAGTGGACAAGTGTTTACATGCTTTCTCTGTCTCAGGGCAGCCAAGGGAGACTGACAGCGGTGCCACAAAAGGCAGAGCTGCAGATTGAGCTAGGCCTGATTCAGTCAGAATTGGACATCAGCATTGTGGACAGGCTTAACTCGTTACTGCAGCCTCCAAAACTTGCAACAACAGAAATGATGGCATCACACATGTACACCTCCTTTAACAAACACATCAGTCTGGTAAGTGCTGGAAACAATGGCATTATTTGAAGTAATAACAAGAATTCTGTCAATGCATTCTGATGCTAGTGACCCGGGGCAGCTGGAATTTTGTCCCAAGTCTACCAGAGGAAGGTATGATTTTAAAAAAAAAACCAGGCAAAAATGAGTAGAATTCTACATTGTAAAAGTTCAAGATTCTTGGGATAATAAAACAGGATTGAATGTAACCAGAGGCCTGTTGGCACTGATCCTAACCCTATGTAGCTTCACCTGTTAGTGACTTGCTGCAGGGAGCATTGAATAGTGATACTGATTGGTGGGACTGGATAGTGATAGGGGGTGTATCCTTCTGTTGTCCAGTCATATCTTTTTAGAATTTGTCTTTGTTCAGTGGGTACTCTCTACCTGTGAAGGTACGAAGTTTGTGTGCTCACAGCCCATTCCAGTGTGAATAACTCATAAGCCAGGATTTCGGTTTCAGTATAGGGTACCATCAGTTGGATGACATGTTAAACTGAGAGTCTTTCTGCCCTTTCAGCTGAGTATAAACAACCCCATGGCACTATTTGTATCAGAGTAAGAAAATTCTGACCTGTGTTCTGGCTAGTTTGTGTCCCTCAACAATGAACAAAGAGACCTAGGGGTGCAGGTGCATAGTTCCTTGAACGTGGAATCGCAGGTAGAGAGGATGGTGAAGAAGGCATTTGGCAAGCTTGCCTTCATTGGTCAGAACTTTGAATATAGGAATTAGACATCATGTTGCAGCTGTACAGGGCAAGGGCAAGGCCACCTTTAGAATACTTCATATAAAATTAGTCTCCCTTCTATAGGAGGATGTTGTTAAAACTGAGAGGGTGCAGAAAAGATTTAGAAGAATGTTGCCAGGGTTGGAGGGCTTGAGCTATTGCGAGAGGTTCAATCGGCTAGAGTGTCGGAGGCTGAGGGTCACTTTATAGAGGTTTATAAAATTATGAGGGGCACAGATAGGGTGAATAGTCAAGATCTTTTCCTCAGGGTGGGGGAGTCCAAAACTAGAGGGCATAAGTTTAAGCTGAAAGGGGAAAGATTTAAAAAGGACATGAGGGTAACTTTTTTTGTGCAGAGGGTGGTGTGTGTATGGAACAAGCTGCCAGAAGAAGTAGTGGAGGCTGGTAAATTGACAACATTTAAAAGGCATCCGGATGGGTACATAAATAAGAAGGGTTTGGAGGGATATGGGTGAAATACTGGCAAATGGGATTAGGTCAGACTGGGAAGTCTGATCAACGCAGACGAGTTGGACCAATGAGTCTGTTTCCATGCTGTATGAATCAATGACTGTATAATTACTTCAAAACTGATTATCTAGTCATCATCAAATCGTTGCTTGTGTTAGTTTGTTGACCTGTATTCTACTTGACAATATTTCCAACCAATTTAATTGGTTAAGAAATGTTTTGGAATGCCATAAGGCTTGAAAATACACTATTGAAATGCCAATCTTTGAAATACTGAGAGCAGCTCAATCATAGATTGAACCTGGGCCGTCCTGGTTTGTGTGGCTCCACCATTTTGTGACGATCACTGACTTTCTGATGGAGCAGTATCTTCCACATAATGTGATCACTTTGACTGTTCTTCCTGTTGCAGCAGAGAGCCTTCACTGAGGTTTTCCGTGACGATTCTGCCTCGCCTGCTAACCAGCGGACGTCTGTACAGCTCACCACACCTTTGTTCAAACTGGCCGTCCGCTTCCCTATCCCAGACCTTCGATCTGACCAGGAAAGAGGACCCTGGTTCAAGAAATCACTACAAAAGGAGGTTCTGCACTTGGAATTCAGCGAGGCAGAATTTAAGACTGAATTCTTTGGGAGTTTATCCCATGAACAGCTCAAATTGGAGCTCACTTTCAAAGAACTGCTTGGTGAGCTAAGTGGCTTTTATTGTTACCCCATCAATATTATTTTAAATGAGCACCCACGTTTATATAGTCATTATACTTCATAGGATATGAAAACATAAGAGCTATGAGCTGGAGTATTATAGAATCTGTGGAAACAGGCCATTCGGCCCAACAAGTCCACACCGACGGTCAGAGCATCCCATCAGACCCATCCCCCTATAACCCACCGAATCTACACATCCCTGGACACTACGGGCAATTTAGCATGGCCAATCCACCTAGCCTGCACATCTTTAGACTGTAGGAAGAAACTGGAGCATACAGACATGGGAAGAATGTGCAAACTCCACACAGACAGTCGCCCAAGGGTGGAATTGAAGCCGGGTCAGTGGCGCTGTGAGGTAGCAGTGCTAACCACTGGGCCACTGTGCCGCCCCTGTAGGCAATTGAGCCCCTGCACCTGCCCGACTATTTGATACGATCGTGGCTGATTTGCATTTCGGCCTCAATTCCACTTTCATGCCCACTTTCCATAATCTTTAAACCTGTTACTGATTAAAAAATCTATCTCCTCTTTCCCAGCATCCTGCGTACTCTAGGGAAGTAATTCTACAGATTCACAACCCTTTGAGAGGGTAATGATAGCGTAATGATGTTGTTACTACACTAATCATCAAAAGAACAGAAGTTCAGGTCATACCGTGTCAGGGTATCTTATTTTGTATGAAGTACCCTCTGTCAAGTGTTTTTCCTGTGGTAGCTTTAACTTTTTCCCCAATCTCATTGTGACCTGTTATCCCCTATTGGGAAGGGTCAAGGCCAGGATCAGGCTTGACTGAGATGTCTGTACATCTGCCCAGACGAGATACAAGAGTCAGAAGCCAGATGACACCAGCTTATAGTCCTACAGATTTATTTGAAATCACAAGCTTTCACAGAGCTGCTCCTTCATTGGGTGAAGTCTGAAGGAACAGCGCTCCAAATGCTTGTGTTTTCAAATAAACCTGTTGGACTATAACCTGGTGCCGTGTGACTTCTGACCTTGTCCACCCCAGTCCATCACTAGCACTTCCACAGCAAAGATGCAGGAATGTCACTGATACCTATGGAGCCAGTTCCTAGCAGAAGGGACAAGACTGTTTAGCAAGAGAGTGGGATTGCTGGTTTTGATAACGCAGCAGTGCTACGGGCTGCACTGAATGCTTAATAGCTTCATCTTGATCTCAGGTAAATTCCAGGAAGATCCTGCGACACCACCGTTCACATTTTTTAAAGTGTCACATGGTGCTGATGGAGACATGTCAACTTTCGACAGCGGGAAGTTTGATTGGCCAAGGCAGGTAACATTATGTTTCCCTTGACATGGCAGTGAGTACGCTTCCAAATTGTTTCATTGGCTGTAAAATGCTAAAGGATGTTCTGAGGTTGTGAAAAGTTCAAAATACTTCTTGAAGTACAGTCTGATAAACTTCAAAAATGAGTCAGCTTTGCAAACATGGGCAGCAAGATTCTGTTCTTCAGCCTGAACAATTTGGGGATGTCTCTGAATACTAATCCTTCATCTATCCCTTCTCCCAATTGGTGGTACTTCCTTTTCTTCTGTTAATAACTGAGATTAGCTATTTGTGCTAAGGCTGATGAAGCAAGAAATCAAGAAAGTGAACACATGTCACCAGGTTTGCCTTATGAACAAGAATAACTTGTGAGAGGAAAGAGGACAGGGAAATGGGCATTAGCTGCTTTGCTCAGAGCTTGAGGGGATGGCTGTACAGACCAGTCCACAGTACAGAGGGTGAGAGTCCATTCATGAAATGTGATGTGGTGGATCTGCCAAAACCTGTTGATCAATTTTACACAGCAATATACAGAATTTACTGCACAGGAACAGGCCCTGCTCCATGCTCTGTACATTCCTGCTCCAAAGTTGTCAACATATCCTGCAAAAGTCTATCTAAATCTGTCATATTTGATTTTTAGTTACTTCAGTGAAGTGCATTATAATAGACATATATTTCTGAAGCACCTCTTAACATATTAAAAACCCTTTACTACTCCTTGTCCCAAGGCATTTAACGAGCATTCCCAGACAAAAATCTGATACTGAGTCATATATTAGGATTTTTAAAGACCATTGTAAAATAAGTCTGCGATAGACAGCGAGGGAAAACCATTCCAGCAGTTGCTGAAGGCTCTGTGACAGTTAAATCCAGATATGGCAATAGACTTGCCCCAGAGCATTGACCTACCTGTCTATCTTTATTTGCATCTAATTGTTGGAGAATTAATTATAGGATCACATCCGATTCTCATGGCTTTGTGTGACTTTGAATGTTATGTCTGTATCTTGTTGCTACAATGCTGAATTGACATTGAGTGTGTGTTTAGTCTGATACCATGGGGGCTTTTGTCACTAGGGTTGTATTGAAAGTGAATCCAACAGTGGTGCATTCCATCTTGGAGCGAATAACGACAGAGGAGGAGGAACCTGGGAGTCACTTACTTGAAGATGAAGAAGGTGGCAGCCACTCCCTGAAGGATGTTTGTGATTTGGGAAAGCAAGAACCCTCGCCTTTCTCCTCGCGAAGAGTCATGTATGAAAATGAGGAGGTGGGAGCATCACTTCTCGTGCGCGTTTAGGCAAAATGGAGAAACCTTAATCTTGGTATCAGTTCTTGTTGATGTTTACCATTAGTCTTGTGGCACAAATTAGATTCCAGTCCAAGTTTGATCACCCGCATGAAGAAAGTCATGAAGTGAATGGATCACTTCACATTACAGGCAGACAAGTTAAGGTTACGCACTTCTTAGCAGATTAATTATGGAGTAAAGTTCTCTCCACACTATGCCTATCAAACACTCCCAGGGCAGGGGCACCATGGAGTTAGGTATAGAGTAAAGCTCCCTCTGTACTGTCCCCATCAAACACTCCCAGGACAGGTACAGCACAGGGTTAGATACAGTTTAAAACTCTATGCTATCCAAATCGAACACTCCCAAAACAAGTACAGCACAGGGTTAGATGCAGAGTACAGTTTCCTCTGCACTGTCCCCAACAAATTCTTCCAGGACAGGTCAAACAGTGTCAGGTAATGAATTAATTCTGTGGATATACATCAGAAGCTTATGCCCCACTGAGTTACTTTCACATCTTCAGTTTCACACAGCAGCTGCCATATGACTTTCCCAACTGAGCTTGCCGAAGTGAAGGTACGTGAGCAATTACAGCACTCCCAGAATGTTTTTATGAACAATATGGTACATTCAAATGTTATACATATGGAAATGCTGACGTCAGCATAGTGTGATAAGTAGTGACAAGTGAACTTGTAACATGACCAAACTGGTAAAACTCTCAGCAACAAGGCACTGCATCTTGCTAATAGAGTAGGAGAGGCAGGTGCTGTTTGCACCTTGAAAGTTGGTATAGATCAACAAGGCCACAACGCTGTTTGTCTCATTAGATCAGTGTGCTCTCTGCAGATGGTGATGCCAGGGGATCAGTTCGAAATGGGTCAATTCCAGGATAAAACCATAAGCACGTCCCACTACGTACTGGAACTGATGTTACCTAATGTCAACCTCACTCTGCCAAACAAAGCGTTCTATGAGAAGGTGTATAACAGGCGAGTCTAACATCTCTCCCATTTAAATGCAGCAAATGAGGTTGTGGTTAATGCTTTTATTTTCATTTCTTGGCTCTATGCCCCTCCTGTTGGGATACAGTATCCTTATTGTTCTTATTTTTAGTCATTCTCAAGATGTGGTATTCCTGGTAAGGCCAGCACTGATTGCCTGTCTCTGGTTCAGCCAGGCCTATTGAGCATCACTCATGTTGGAGTCGTAGATGGGGCATAGTGTGAGAATTACGGCCAGACCATTTAGGGGAGATATTGGGAAGCACTTCTCCACACAAAGGGTAGTAGGTATTTGGAACTCTCTTCTGCAAACCAGTGGATGCTGGATAAGTTGTGAGTTTTAAGTCTGAGATTTTTTATTGAGCAAAGGTTTTAAGGGATATGGGCCAAAAGGCAGTTTTATGGAGTTGGACCACAGTTCCATGATCTCATTGATTGGTGGAACAGGCTTGAGGGGCTGAATGGCCTACTGCTGTTTATGTCTACATGTGCCATTTGCAAGCTATATTAAATAAGGTTTCCTACTCCTGAAGAATGATGGTGAAGCAGCTGTATTTTAATTAGTCAGCTCTATGGTCACTTTTACTAAGGCCAGGTTTTCACTCCTTGATTATTAAAAGCCGAGTTTAAATTTTCAAGCCAACATTCTCACATTCTACTGGATTATAAATCTGGACTCTGGAATCACTAATCCGGTAACCTAGCCACAACATGTCTCCAGCATTTGCAAAAGTATAGGGTAAAGATCTGAAAAACCACCAAATTTCACATGTTTTTGCTTTAAGTTTGATTATGTATTAGATTTCACTGTTTAGTTTATACTGTCATGATTTACGAAAATCTATCGCTCTCTATTTTGTTACATCTTCTATTTTTCTTTATGACATTTGAGTCAGAGATTTCAAGCCTCAATCCAGGGGAACTTGAACCCATACTACACAGTGCTGTAGGAGTAGTACTGCCATGTCAAAGTTTGATGTTTTGAACATAAGAAAAAGGAGCAGGAATAGACCATATGAGCTGTCAAGTCTGCTCTGCTTTTCGGTGCAATCATGGTCAAACCTCTAGCTCTACTTGACCTTCCAATCTCCATTCTATATCTCTTGATTCCTTGAGAGACCAAAAATCAGTCTGTTTAAACCTTAAATGTATTCCATTATGGAGCCTCTACACCTTACCAGTAGAGAATTTCAAAGATTCGCAATGCTGTGAGTAACAAAATGTTTCCTCATCCCGGTCCTACATGATTGGGTCTTTATTCTGAGGCTGTGCCCCAGTGTTCTGGATTTTCCAGCCAGAGTGCGCAATCTTTCTGTGGCAAGTGTTGGTTGAATGGCAGAGCAGACCTGATGAGCTGAATGGTCTAATTCTGCTCCTATATCTTGTGGTCTTATGGCTTGAGGAACTGTGTCTCAGAGTTGATTATCTGGAGTTTGAGCTTTGAGCACTGCAACTCATCAAGGTCGGGGGGTTGGGAAGAATTACCTGGACACTGTTTCAGGAGGCAGTCACAGCGCTTTGATTAACTACATCAAATTTGGTCAGGGACAGGAGGATGTGACTATGAGCAAGGCAGTACAGGAATCATGATAATGCTAAAAGAGCCTCAGCCCTTGAAAACTTGCCTAACAGGTTTAAGATTCTTGCTCCCTTTGTGGATGAGAGCGGTGGCTGCAAGAACGATGAGCAAAGTGATGATAGCACCATGGTACAGGGAGCCATTCAAGAGAGGGTGGGGTGAAAAGAGAAATGTAGTTGTAGTTGGGGATAATACAGTCAGGGGAATAGACAGTATTCTCTTTGGCTAGGATTGAGAGTCCTGAAGGCTTTGTTGCCTGCCTGGTACCAGGTTCAGGATACCTCATCTCGGCTGCTGAGGAATTTGGAGTGGTCTACATAGGTGTCAACAATATATGTAGAAAGAAAAAAGAAGTTCAGCTAAGGGGAATATGAGCAGCTCAAGAGCTAACTTAAAAAGCAGAGCCACAAAGGTGGTAATCTCTGGATAACTACTTGAGCCACAAGCAAATTAGTACAGAGTCAACAAGATTAAATTGATAGCAAGAAGTGATATAGAGTTGGAAGGTGTAGAATCTGTGTGGGTAAAGTTCAGCAACCGCAAAGGCAAAAAGATCCTGATGGGGGTTATGTACAGGTCTCCTACAAGTAATCAGGATGTGGGAAAGAAAATAAATTAGGAGATAGAAAAGGCATGTAAGAAAAACACCATTACAATTATCATGGGGTCTTCAATGTGCAGGTGGACTGGGAAAATTGGATTGGTAGCAGATCCCATGAAAAGGAATTTGTGGAATCTCCACACAGTGATTTTTTTGGAGCAGTGTGCTAGAACCCACTAGGGAACAGGCAGTTCTAGATTTGCTGATGTGTAACAAGGCAGAATTGATTAGGGAGCTTAAGGTGAAGAAACCCCAAGGGGACAGTGACCATAATATGATAGAATTCATCCTGTAGTTTGAGAGGGAGGAGCTGGAATCAGATGTAAGGGTATTATAATTGAGTAACGGTAACTGCAAAGGTATGAGGGAGGAGCCAGCCAGAGTTGATTGGAAGGGTGGTAGAGCAGCAATGGCAGGAGTTTCTGGGGGCAATTTGGGTAGCACAGCAGAAATCCATCCCAAGGGAGAAGAAACGCACTAAGGGGAGGATGAGGCAACCATGGATGACAAGGCAAGTCAAGGGCAACATAAAAGCAAACGAGAAAGCATACAATGTAATGAAGATTAATGGGAAGCCTTTAAAAACTAGCAGAGGATATCTAAAATTACAATAAGGGGGGGAGAAGATAAAATATTAGAGTAAGCTAGCTAGTAATATAAAAGAAGATAGAAGAGTATTTTTAGATACCTAATAGGTAAGAGAGAGGCAAGAGTGGATGTTGGACCACTGGAAAATGAGGCTGGAGAAGTACCAATGGGGAACAAAGAAATGGCAGAGGAACTGAATTGGTACTTTGCCTTAGTATTCACAATGGAAGACACCAGTAGCAAACCAGAACTTCAAGAGAATCAGGGGACAGAGGTGAGAGTAGTGGCCATCAATAAGGAGGATGTGTTGAGGAGGCTGAAATGTCTGAAGGTGGATAAATCAACCGGATCAGATCCCAGAGTTCTGAAGGAAATAGCTGAGGAGATTGTAGAGGCATTGGTGGCGATCTTTCAAGGAATCACTGCAGTCAAGGAACGTCCCAGAGGACTGAAAAATGGCTAATTTTACATCCCTGTTTAACAAGAGAGGGAGGCAGATGACAGGAAACTATAGGCCTCGATTGTTGGTAAGATTTGAAAGTCTGCTATTAAGGATGAGACCGTGAAGAACTTGGAGGTGCATGATAAAATAGGGCTGTGTCAGCACAGCTTCATCAAGGGGAGGGCATGCCTGACAAATTTGTTAGAATTCTTTGAAGAGGTAGTGAGCAGGTTAGACAAAGAAAAGCCAAAGGACATGATCTGTTTAGATTTCTAGAAGGCCTTTGACAAGGTGCTGCACAGGAGGTTGCTAAATAAGATAAGAGCCCGTGGCACTAAGGGCAAAGTACTGGCATGGATAGAGGATTGGCTGACTGGCAGGGGCAGAGAGTGGGGATAAAGGCCTAAAGGGATCAAAGGGTAATGGGGTAAAAGCGGAAATAGGATACTGAGTTGCATCATCAGCCATGATCGTTTTGAATGTTGGGCAGAGCAGGCTCAAAGGGCTGAATGGCCTGCTCCTGCTACTATTTTCTATGTTTCTATGTATGTCACTTAGTATGAAATGCTTTGAATATCCTGAAGATGTGATAAAGCACTGTGTTAGACAAATTGTCTCTTTATGTAATAATTTGTTTGTGTTATTCATTACCCTTATTACAGAATAAATAATGATTTGTTACTATGGGAACCTGCTGCCCCATCTCCTGTTGAGACTGTTGAAAACATTACTTACGGGGTTGGACTGTCTGTAGCCAGTCAGTTAATCAACGCGTTCAACAAAGACAGTCTCCCTCCACTCAAGTCGACACTCCTCCAGGACGGTACAGTATTGCACCACCCTACATACTATTTTGATTACGATCCATGTAACTCCCATCATTCATATTAGCCCATAAGGCAGGAGCTGAGTGCTTTATGTGGTAGATGTTTCGGACTCTCTCCCACAAACAACTGTGGATGCTACATAAGTTGATAATATTAAATCTGAAATAGATAAATTTGTTTTAACGGATATTGACCAAAGGTAGGTATGTGGAGTTAGGCCACAGATCAGCCATGATCTCATTGAATGGTGGAACAAGCTCGAGGGGCTGAATGGCCTACTCCTGTTCCCATGTTCCTGTCCCTCCCAGTATTGTGAAGAGGAATAGAGTATTGTTTAATGTCCCTACATCCCACACATTGACTACCATTGCAAACTGCACACATACCGTAATTAGATGAAACTTGGTTAACAGATGATCCAGAGTCAGTGCAAATTGAGGGATTTTGTGAGTGAAACTATTGTATGTGGCAAGAGCTTTAGTAACTGGAGGCTTCCAGATAAATGGCAAAAAAGTTCAGAGAAGGAGCAATGAGAGAAATGGCCTTCTGATGTGGAATGCTTTTCCTGAAAGGGCAATGGAAGGAAATTCAAGAGTAACTTTTAAGTCAAAATTCTTGAAGGGAGAAACAAAAAATAACAGGACATCAGGGAAAGCACAGGGAGTGAGAGTCATCGAAAAACTCTTTCAAACAACCAGCAAGATCACAATGGGCCAAATTGCCTCCTTTACTTGAAGTGTCTATGATTTAGTCATGTATGTTTAAAGCAAGAAATATGCTGAGGAGGCAAAAAGGGAATGACTGGTTGGTGGAGTGCAGTGAGATTAGGCAAAGCTAGAAGTGCATTGCAGAGTGGAGGTAAGTAATAGAAAGATAGGTTAACGTTCTGGCTTCTACCTGAAGTCGTGTCTATTCTGCTTCATATGCTGCTTTAGCTGCTGCATATTTCGCCTCCTTACTCTTGGCAGCGAAAGCTGCAACATTTGGCTGCATGATGTGTCCTAAGGATTATATGACCCACGATTCCTTGCATGTGTTCTGTAGATGACGAGAGTGGCTCTGATGAGGAGACGCTACCATTCTGCCCTAGTACTGACCCTGCCCACCGTTCACGTCGTAAAAAGAAAGTTGAACAACAGAACAAGAATTGCCAGAGCTTTCTGTCGATCCTTCTCAATGTGTCTCATGGGCTTGTCAGCATATACACAGATACCAAGGTGAGAGTATATGAGAGAATTCAGTGTCTGCTTGTGAATGATACAGTAACTCCCAGTTTGAGTTTCCTGTAACTGGTACTTGAGATTAGTTACTGAATTGGTAATTCAATTGATTGAGTATTTAAATCGAGATACAATTAAATACTAAAAAAATGAGGCTGGCCTCTGTTAAAGGTGATCTGTTGGATTGTAATAAAACCCCAGCTGGTTCACTGATATCTTGCAGGAAAGGAAACTTGCTATCCATATCTTGTCTAAGCCTTTGTGATTCTAGTCCTACATTATTGTGGTTGACCATTAACTGTCCTTAGCATTGGTCTTTGTCACCTGCAACCAGGTGGATTCACTAAGGTAGGTGCAGGGACAAGTAGTGTTGAGGAAGCAGGAGGCTGCAGAGGAATGTGGACAGGCTAGGAGAGTGGACAAAGAAGTGGCAGATGGAATATAATATTTATTTTTAATTAACTCATGGGATATGAGTATCACTGGTTGGGCCAGCATTTATTGCCCATCCCTAGTTGCCCCCCTTGAGAAGGTGGGGGTGTGCTGCCTTCTTGAACTGCTGCAGTCCATGTGCTGTAGATTGACCCACAATGCCCTTAAGGAAGGAATTCCAGGATTTTGATACAGCGACACAGAAGGAACAGCGATATATTTCCAAGTCAGGATGGTGAATTACTTGGAGGGGAACTTGCAGTGTGGGAAAGTATAAGGTTAGACATTTTGGTAGGAAGACTAGAGGTGTAGGTTAATTTCTAAACAGGGAAAGGCTTCAGAAGTGTGTTATTTTATTCATTCACGTGATGAGGGTGTCGCTGGCCAGGCCAGCATTTATTGCCCATCCCTAATTGCCCAGAGGGCAGTTCAGAGTCAGCCTCATCGAACATAGAACATAGAACAGGACAGCCCAGTATAGGCTCTTTGGCCCATGATGTGGTGCTGAACTTTTACCCTAATCCTAAGGTCTATCTGACCTCCATCCCTACCTGAGACGATCATCCATACGCCTATCTAATAGCCGTTAAATGACCCTAATGAGGCCAACTCCACTACCCTCTCCGGCAATGCATTCCATGCCCCGACCAATCTCTGAGTAAAGAACCAACCTCTGACATCTCCTCTATATCCATCTCCACGCACTTTAAAACTGTGCCCCCTCGTAATAGCTACGTCCACCCTAGGAAAAAGTCTGTATCTATACCTCTGATCATTTTGTACACCTCTATCAAGTCACCTCTCATCCTTCGTCGTTCTAAAGCGAAAAGCCTTAGCTCTCTTAACCTTTCCTCGTAAGACCTTCCCTCCATTCCAGGCAACATCCTGGTAAATCTCCTCTGCACCTTTTCCAATGCTTCCACATCTTACTTGTAATGAGGCGACCAGAATTGGACGCAATACTCCAGATGTGGCCGAACCAGGCTTTTGTATAGCTGGAGCATAACTTCACGGCTCTTGAACTCAATCCCTCTATTAATGAAAGCTAACACACCATATGCCCTCTTAACAACTCTATCCACCTGGGTGGCAGCTTTCAGGGAACTGTGGACATGAACCTCAAGATCCCTCTGCACCTCCACACTGCCAAGAATCTTTTTGTTAACACTGTACTCTGCTTTCAAGTTCGTCCTTCTGAAATGAATCAGCGCACACTTTTCAGGGTTAAACTCCATCTGCCACTTCTCAGCCCAGCTCTGCATCCTATCGATGTCCCTTTGTAACCTAGAACAGCCGTCCGCACTATCCACAACGTGACTCACCTTCGTATCGTCCGCTCACTTACTAATCCACCCTTCCACTCCTTCGTCCGAGTCGTTTACAAAAATCACAAATAGAAGAGGACCCAGAACAGATCCTTGTGGTACACCACTCGTAACTGAGTACCATGTTGAATATTTTCCGTCCACAACCCCCTTTGTCTTCTAAGGGTCAGCCAATTCTGAATCCAATTGGCCACATTTCCCCCATCCCATGCCTCCTTACCTTCTGCTTGAGCCTACCATGGGGAACCTTATCAAACACCTTACTTAAATCCATGCATACCACATCCACTGCTCTACCTTCGTCCACGTGCTTGGTTACCTCTTCAAAGAATTCAATAAGGGTTGTGAGGCATGATCTACGCCATCATCTCCACCTTAGTGTGAAGCTCAAAGGGAAATGGAATTCTGAGTTCAGGATTCTCCAAATGATAACATGCAGGTTCAGTTGGCAGTTAGGAAGTCAAATGCAATGTTAACATTCATTTCAAGAAGGCTAGAATACAAGAGCGGAGATATGCTGCCGAGGCCGTATAAGGTTCTGGTCGTACCCCGTTTGGAATGTTGTGAATAGTTTTGGGCCCCATACCTAAGGAAGGATTGTGCTGGCATTGGAGGGGATCTAGACAAGGTTTATAAGAATGATCCTGGGGATAAAGGGCTTGTTATATGAGGAGCAGTTGAGGACACTGGGTCTGTGCACGATGGAGTTTAGAAGGTTGAGGGAGAATCTGACTGAAAATTACAGAAAACTGAGAGGCCTGCATAGAGTGAACCCAAATTAAACTCATTCTGCCACTCAGCTGATTGGTCCAATTAATCAAGATCACTTTGCAATCTTAGGTAACCTTCTTCACTGTTGACTATACCACCAATTTTGGTGTCATTCACAAACTTACTAACCATGCCTTCTAAATTCCAATCCAAATCATTTATATGATTTACAAACAAAAGTGGGCCCTATACCGATCCCTGCGGAATGCTGCTGATCACAGGCCTCCAGTCCGAAAAACAACCCTCCACCATGACCCTCTGTCTCCTACCATCAAGCATTTTTTATATCCAATTGGCTCTCCCTGAATCCCGCGTGATCCAACTTCACTAATTAGTCTATCATGCAGAATCTTGTCAAAGGCTGTACCAAGGTCCACGCAGGCAATGAGTACTGCTATGTCCTTATCTATCATTTTGGATACATCCTCAAAACAACTCAATCAAGTTAGTGAGACACAATTTCCCACGCACAAAGCCATGATAACTATTCCTAATCAGCCCTTGCCTCTCCAAATGTATGTAAATACTGTCTCTCAGAATCACCTCCAACAACTTATCCACCACTGATGTCAATCTCACAGGCCAATACTTTGCAGTTCTGAGGAAGGGTCACTGGGCCCAAAACGTTAACTCTGTTTTTTCCTTCACAGCTGCTGCTGCCAGACCTGCTGAGCTTTTCCAGCAACTTTGTTTTTGTTCAATACTTCCCAGGCTTCTCCTTACCTTTCTTAAATAAAGGCACAACATTAGCCACCACGAGTCCTCCAGCACCTCACCCATGGCTGTAGATGATAGAGATATTTCTGATAGGGGCCCCGCAATTTCTTCCCTAACTTCCCAGAACGTACTGGAGTACACTTGTTCAGGTCCCGGGGATTTATCCACCTTTGTTTTTTAAGACCTCCAGCACTGCTACTGCTGTAATGTGGACTGTTTTCAATACATCAGTATTTATTTCCTCGAGTTCCCTTGCCTCCATTTTTTTGTCCATAGTAAAAACTGACAAGAAATATTTGTTTATTATCTCTCATCTCCTGTGGTTCCACATGTAGATGACCTTGTTGATCTTTAAAGGACCCTATTCCCTCCCCAGTTGCTATTTTGCTTGTAGTGTACCTGTAGAATCTCTTTAAATTATCCTTAACTTTATCTGCCAAGGCATTCTCATATCTCCTTTTGCTCTCCTGATTTCTATCTAAAGAATGCCCCTACACCCTTAACGCCTTCAAAAGATTCACTTTGTCCCAATTGTTTATACCTAATGTATGACTCCTTCTTATTCTTGACCAGAGCCTCAATATCTTTATTTATCCATTGTTCCTTACTCTTACCAGCCTTACGCTTCACTCTAACAGGAACATAATGTCTCTGAACTGTTGTTATCTCACTTTTGAAAGCACCCCACTTGTCAGCCATCCCTTGATCTACGAGTAAACTACTCCAATCAACTCTAGAAAGCTCCTGTCTCATACCATCAAAATTTGCCTTACTCCAATTAAGAATGTTAGCTTTTATCCTTTTCCGTAACTATTTTAAAAATAATAGCATTATGATCACTGGTCCCTAAGTGCTCCCCTACTAATACTTCAGTCACTTCACCTGCTTTATTTCCTAAGAGGGGGTCAAGTTTTGCTCCTTCTCTAGTAGGGGGTGCATCTACATACTGATTTTATTTACTGAAAAATCTTCACTGAGTACAGGAGTAATGTTTTCCTTAATCAAAAACACCACTCCCCCTCATCTTTTGCCTCCCTTTCTACCCTTGCTAAGGCATCTAAACCCTGGAGCAATCAGCTGCCAATCCTGTCCCTCCCTCTGCCCTGTTTCTGTATTAGTTATGATATCCCAGTCCCGTGTTCCCATACATGTCCTGAGTTCATCTGCCTTACCTGTAAAATCCCTTGAATTGAAATAAATAGTTTAATTCATCAGAGACACCTCGTTCTCTGACTTGCTCTTACCTTCCTTTTCTAATTAACTTGCTCTTTTTTAAACTCAGAGCCATCCTCATCTATCTTTCTATTCTCACCATTAGTTGGGATCCTCCCAACCAACCCGCACCACCGCAAAAAAAAAACACCAGTTTAAAAGCTCCCAAATAGCACTAGCTAATCTCTCTGCCAGGATATGGTCCCCTTCCAGTTCAGATGAAACTTGTCCCTTTTGAACAAGTCTTCTCTGCCCTAGAAGAGATCCCAATGATTCAAAAATCTGAATCGTTGCCCACTGCACCATCTCTTCAGCCATTGATTTATCTGCCTTATCTTCTTCTTCCTCCTCTCACTAGCATGTGGCGCTGGGGATAATCCAGAGATTACTACCTTTGAGGTTCTGCTTTTTAACCTCCTGTATTAAGTCTGCAAAGCCTCAAACCTATACCTAATTATGTCTTTCTTACCAGTGTGTACATCAACTTCCAGCTTCCCACTCTCCCCTTTGACAATTATGCTACAGCCGTTTTGAGACATCTGTAATCCTGGCAATCGGGGGGCAACATGCCATCCCTGAATTCTCTCTCACGGCTACAGAATCTCCTGTCTGTGCTCCTGACAGGAGAGTTCAACAAAAAAAAACAAAGAAAATTACAGCACAGGAACAGGCCCTTCGGCTCTCCAAGCCTGCACCGATCCAGACCCTCTATCTAAACCTGTCGCCTATTTTCCAAGGATCCGTATCCCTCTGCTCCCTGCCCATTCATGTATCTGTCTAGATACATCTTAAATGACGCTATCGTGCCCGTCTCTACCACCTCCGCTGGCAACGCCTTCCAGGCACCCACCACCCTCTGCGTAAAGAACTTTCCACGCATATCTCCCTTAAACTTTTCCCCTCTCACCTTGAAATCATGACCCCTAGTAATTGAGTCCCCCACTCTGGGGGGGAAAAAGCTTCTTGCTGTCCACCCTGTCCATACCTCTCATGATTTTGTAGACCTCAATCAGGTCCCCCCTCAACCTCTGTCTTTCTAATGTAAATAATCCTAATCTACTCAACCTCTCTTCATAGCTAGTGCCCTCCATACCAGGCAACATCCTGGTGAACCTCCTCTGCACCCTCTCCAAAGCATCCACATCCTTTTGGTAATGTGGTGACCAGAACTGTACGCAGTATTCCAAATGTGGTCGAACCAAAGTCCTATACAACTTTTGATACAACTCCTTTTGACAATTACTCTTTGAATCTTGACAAACCCCACTTAACATAAGATTCATTCTTGGTGCCCAAAATCTGGCTGCCACTTCTATTTTCCTCTGAAAGACTATCCTCCTAAACACTAACCAAAATGGTATATCTGTTTTGAGAGAGGAATAGCCACAGGAGACTCTTGAACTACCTTCCTACCTTTCCTGATAGTTACCCATCTATCTCTAAATCTAAAAACCATCACACTGTGTGCCTCCAATATGCTCCTCAGTGACTGTAACTGCCTCCCAGCCAGTCCAAACAGTCTGATATGAGTTGGATCCAAACACTCCTCCTGCAGACATAGTCTCCAGAGACAGTTCTGTTTTCTAATCTCCCACAGCACTGACACTGAGGGGGAGTTTCTTCAGACAGAGGGTGGTGAATCTATGGAACTCATTGCTGCAGAAGGCTGTGGAGGCCAAGTCATTAAGTCTATTTAAGACCGTGATAGATAGAATCTTAAAAACAGGAAGAACTGTGGCTGCTGTAAATCAGAGACAAAAATTGAAATTGCAGGAAAAGCTCAGTAAGTCTGGCAGCATCTGAGGAGAGAAATCAGAGTTAACGTTTTGGGTCAAGTGACCCTTCCTTAGATCTGATCCAGATAGGATCTTGATTAGTAAGGGGAGCATGAGTTACAGGGAGAAGGCAGGAGAATGAGTTTGAGAAACATGTAAGCCATGATTGAATGACAGAGCAGACTCGATTGGCTGAATAGCCTAATTCTGCTCTTCTATGTTGTGGTCTTATTATGCATCGCAGTATCACCATCAATGTTCAAGAAGGTGACAGACACACAAGCACTATCTCAGGCAACGTGGTGAATGGAGATACAGCTGTATCTGAGCACAGTGTTCTATTGCAGAGTGAAGATGGCACGCTGTTAGCTGGGCAGCATGGTGAATTCTGGCTGGAGATTGAAAACGCAAGCTTGTTCACTGTGGGGAAGTATCAAGGCTGTGATGGTCAGCATTATTTCTGTCTCCAAACAAGCAAAGTCTTCCTTTGTCACCAAGGTATGAGTTCAACAATAAATATGTGAAATAATTGTATCTTGTGTCAACTTCTGCAGAGAAGAATTTATTTTAAGCTTACTGGTTTTAAAAACTTGCTGAATAATGGAGATTCATGTCCAAATACTGTATGAGGTTGCCGCTTAACAATACTTTGTCTCTGACTTTACATAGGTCTTTCCATCATCCTACCAATTTACATCTGCTTTCATGAAGGTGCTGACTCTCACTGGGGTACACGGTCCTGCTCCTCTCCTGAAGGTGCTGACTCTCACTGGGGTACAGGGTCCCCCTCCTCTCCTGAAGGTGCTGACTATCACTGGGGTATGGGTCTCACTCCTCTCCTTAAGGTGCTGGCTCTCACTGGGGTACAGGGTCCCCTCTTCTGAAGGTGCTGACACTCACTGGGGTACGGGTCCCCCTCTTCTCCTGAAGGTGCTGACACTCACTGGGGTACGGGTCCCCCTCTTCTCCTGAAGGTGCTGAC